AATTTCTAATTGCAATTAATTCCAAGACCAAGCCCTCGCCATGCATGGAATAGTCTTGAAGATTAGGTAACCTGCCCGTGCCCAACTCCTCTATATATATCCTTAATTCCATCACCACGTTCTCAACACACTCCATTCAGTTAGGCTCCCATTTTTGTTGAAGAAAGCTAGATATAATTAATGGCTTCTTTTACAGTCATTAATGTGCTGTTTGTGTTCCTTGTGGTTTTCTCTGGGAGCTCCAATGCTCAACTCTCTACTAATTTCTATTCTAAGGCTTGTCCAAAAGTCCTCTCTACAGTGAAATCCGTAGTGCAATCTGCGGTTGCTAAAGAGCGTCGCATGGGTGCATCTCTCGTTCGCTTACACTTTCACGACTGTTTTGTCAACGTACGTTATTCTCTAAACTACAGTATCACTGTTTCCCTAACTTGGAAGATTTACTAAAAGAAAAAAAAAAAAAAAAATTGATTGATTTTCTTTTATTTAAGGACTTGTATTTGTTTTTAAGTTTATTTTATAACCGACACAAAATATCCAAAAGCTCTCTCAACAAATGTTCTTATTACATAATTATTTTCTTTTTTCTTTTTGTAGAGTGGTGTTCCAAGTATAAACTACACATATAAACTCTAGTATATAATCTAGTATGACTCAATTCTTTTATAGACATATCGTTCATTTATATTAATTTAGTATTTATTAAATTGATTTTTTTAATAAATTATTCATTCATTTTATGTCACATTAATTTATATAAATGAGTTTGTACATTCATTATTATTCTATTTTACAAGGGACCAAGAAAAAAATGGCAATGATACATAATTAATCTAGTAAATTAATTATATTACATGGATTAACTATTAATGTAATAATGAATCCAGAAGACTATGGTAAGTAACAGAAGCATAATAAGTCAAATTGAGCAATTAATGCTAGCTACAAGTTACATATTAAATCAATGTAGATTGTAAATGAGATCTTCAATTCAAATCATTACTTTAAAGCTATATATTATTTTTTAACTAATTGTTTGTGTTTATAATTAAAGGGGTGTGACGGATCAGTACTTCTGGATGACGCTTCTTCATTTACAGGGGAGAAGACTGCTGCTCCTAATAACAATTCAATCCGGGGATTTGAAGTTGTTGATAAGATAAAATCAAAAGTGGAGCAAGTCTGTCCTGGCGTAGTTTCTTGTGCCGACATTTTAGCCATTGCAGCGCGTGACTCTACAGTAATTGTAAGTTCTTTACTGATTTATAATTTTATATACATCCAAATCTCGTTGAATCAATTGGTCTTCAGAATTGCAATTGTCATTAATTTTTAATAATATATACTTATATTGCAGCTTGGTGGACCAAGTTGGAATGTTAAACTTGGAAGAAGGGATTCAAAAACAGCTAGTTTTTCTGCAGCCAATAGTGGTGTCATTCCTCCCCCCTCGTCTACTCTTACCAATCTCATCAACAGATTTCAGGCTAAGGGTCTGTCTACCAAGGACATGGTTATTCTATCTGGTAATATATACATATATATGTCTCGACAGTTAATACATTTTTTTACAAGTCATCGTTGAATATTATAAATTTATGGATATTTAAAGTTATTGATAGAATTTGAGGTGGAGCTGATGATTACCCTATCTTATAAACCAGTTGATTTAAGCATGTCTAGTTAGTGTGAGACTCTAACACTCTTCTCACGATCAACCCCATATGTGTTGGCTCCAATTCTTCACCTGCTAGTCAAATACTTAGTTCAATTAGACATATCTCTGATACTATGATAAAATTTAAGGTGAGTATGACTCTTCACTTAATAAAGTCTTTTTGGGTGAGAGAATTACCTCGTTTTATAAACTAGTAAGCTTGAGTTTGCTTAGTCAATGTGTAATTCCAACATTTCGTATTCACATATTTTTTATATATTTGTAAAATTCAGCAGTAAACTAATAAGAATACACCGTTATGATAACTGTTGCATGACAATTAGGCATGTAGTCCTAGTCATGCATTGGATAGAATGGGCCCTATATAGTGTTATGTTGGACTAGCTGTTTCATCTCTCCTGGCAGTGTTTCTTGTCGTTTATCCACAAGACCAGACTTTTAAAAAAGACATCAATTCAATCATGCGTGGACAAATAATTTCTATCAAATAAATAATTAAAAAAATGTTTGAGTTAAAATATAAAGTATCTGACTTTATTTGTCTGTATTTGAACTGTAGGATCACATACGTTCGGGCAAGCAAGGTGCACAGTTTTCAGAGACCGCATATACAATGAAAGCAACATTGATAGTTCATTTGCTAAGGCTAGGCAAGCAAATTGTCCAAGAGCTTCCGGTTCAGGAGATAATAAACTAGCCCCATTAGACCTTCAGACTCCAACCTTTTTTGACAATCTCTATTACAAGAATCTCTTAAACAAAAAGGGTTTACTTCACTCAGATCAAGTCTTATTCAACGGTGGATCCACCGATTCATTGGTTACTTCATACAGCAAAAATCCTAAAGCCTTCAGTTCTGATTTTGCTGCTTCAATGATCAAGATGGGAGACATTAGTCCCCTCACAGGATCCAATGGTGAGATCAGGAAGAATTGTAGGAAGCCAAATTGAAATTAGAGAAATCAATTGGTTGTTTGATGGAACTTTTAGTTAAAGGGCTAAGAATGTTCTAAGTATGACTTTTCTTTATTTTTGTTTTTCTTCTCCATGAACAAGTGTATCACTATGGAAATATTATTCATGTTAAGATATTTGCTATGGACTATGTATATCTTTCTATTGATGTATCATCTTCTTTGTTGAGAAAATCTAGAATACAATGGTTGTATTGTTGACGAGTTACCACCGACAATCTATGTAAGTTAAGTAATTATTAAGTTTGGTAAAATACCTGTAATGGAATTAGACTTGGTCTTATAACGCTGCTGTAAAATCACCATTCGACAAGGGGTTGAATGACCAAGAAGCCTGGGGAGTTGAAGACCAAAATCTTATAGCGCTACAGTAAATTGCCCTGGACTTGAAGGCCAAACCATGATCCCAAAACCTTAAGCTGCCCGCAAAACCTTCATTGGAAAACAACGAAAAGTTTAAAAAAAAAATAATAATAAAAAAGAAGTGGTTTGACAGTTGCCCACAGCCCTGGACTTGAAAGCAAAACCATGATCCCAAAACCTTAAGCTGTCCACAAATGACAAAACCTTCGTTGGAAAACAACGAAAAGTAGTTTAAAAAAAAAAAAAAGTGGTTTGACGGTTGCCCACGGTATTCACATTTAATGTAAAGAGGATCAAGCATTCTCCCATAACAGGCCATTAATTAAGTTTACGGATGGTGGGCAGGGCCGGCTCAAGGTAGGCGCCTGCCTAGGCCCCAAAAAAAAATAAGGTTGAAAAGGGTCAAATTTTTTATAATATATTACAAAAATAAAAAAATATATAATTTCTTATCTAACCAATATAAGGGGCCTTAAAAAAAAAAAAAAAACAAAAAATACCCAAATTTATTATTAATTTTTTACATTATTCCCACCCAAAGTTTTGACGAAAATTCTAAGTTTGTACTTCTAGTTTCATATATTGTAATTTACACCTCTAAATTAACACATTAAATTTCTTTTAACAACAAAAGACTAAAATGGTCATTTATATGTCTCAAATTACTCACTCTCAATTCAATCCCAAAATTTAACATTCACATAAATCATCTCCACCCCTCTTCTGCCGCCGACCGTTTGGAGCTGATTTCGGTCAAATTTTTTCTCCAAAATCGATCGGAACCATCACTTTATCGTTTTCCAAGTGTTTTTCCAACCTTGATAGCCCTCGATTTAGCCATTTTTTTACGAATCTCGCAACCTAGCTCCACCCCGTGCGACAGCCATTTCCGACCTTTTCAGCATGTACTTGGCATCGTTGGCCTTCCCCAACACCACCATCTTCCTCCCCTTTGCATTCTCACCAAAACCCCAAAACCCCTATCATACCTATCCGTTTACTCTGCCAATCGCCGACCACCAATACCTTTTGGGCTGTGACTTCTCAAGTCTTTTCTGGTTAATCCTAGCATTGGAAATCACCATTTCACCACCCATCGCTTCTCTAACATCTGCTCTCCAAAACCCCTTACCAACCTGACCTTGTTAGCTCGTCGGTCGTCATCCACTTCTCCTAGTGATTTTGCATCTCAAAAGGTAAGAAAAATAAATTTGAAATAATTTTTTTAGTATATACTTATATTATTAGAAGATCCCTAAAGTAACTTTTACCTAGGGTCACAAATGTTCTTAATAAAGCCTGATAGTGGGAGAGGCGAGAGGAATCCTTATCCTATTTAATTAGCACACAAAAATATTTATTAAAAGAGCTTTCTTTAACAAAGGAGACAACCGCCAAAGACAAAGTAGTTGCATGAATGACACATCACCACACGACACATGCAAGGCGACACATGACACATGAAAAACTTGCCTATAAATTGAATTTACAATGTAACATGAGGCAACGATCTATTCATACATACACATTTTCACTTAAGATTACATTCTCTATGTCATTATTATACACTCTTATGAAGAAAGGGGGGCGAGTCCAAGGCCAGAGACGAAAAACCAAGGTCCATGGTTGAGGTAACTAGTTAGGAGGTGGAAAACTGGTTAACCAAACTTGTTTTTCGATTCAAGCAGTATTCTGAATTGAAACAGAACAGAATACTACTTGAATCAGTTTTTAACCGAACTAATAATTCGGTTCAGAAAACTGGTTAACTGGTTTTGAACCGGTTTTATAAACAATCCTTAATAGAGTTAATTCCCATTTTATTATTGTTTCCCTTTTTCAAATCTGATTTTGTATAGCATAATAGTGGCAATACATAATTGAAAATGTAAACCATACAAGCATACATGATTAAAGATAATGAAAGGAAGCCTAAACCATACAAGTGTATATGATCAAAAATTAAAAATGATAGAACTTGGTAATAAAATAAATATAGAGATAAGAGATTAAGATTTGTCTTAAGTTGCTGATTCGGCGATGGAGTATGGATGGCGACTAGTTCATGATTCTGTGAAGACAACGACTAGTTTGTGATTCGGTGAAGACTGAAGATCTTGAAGATGCTTCTGGCTTCTACTTTATGGTCGTGTTGTCGTGCTTAATATCGAAGAGTGAAGACAACGACTAGTTGCTTATCGCCATTCATCGATAAGAACTTAGCAGTGAGCAGGTTAGGTGTAAGGGTATTAGGGTTCTTCGATAGTCGTGGTTATCAAATTGGAGAAGAAGGCTTTGAGATTGTTAAGGATATAATTTCATAGAACTTTTAGTCAATACATAAGTTCAGGGATTTTTAGGCAAAAAACCGGTTTGAAAATGCCTCTAAACCATTAACCGAATCGAAAAACTAGTTCGGTCATTTTTGGAAATTGAAACTGAACCGATTTTTTAGAAAACTGGTTTTCGGGTCGGTTTTGGTCCAGCTTCTTGGTTCGGTTTTTGGATTTTTTTTTTTTTTTTTTTTGTAGCCCTATAACTAGTTCAAGGAGAAGCTTTAGATTGGGGGAAAGTACAAATGAGACTTGAACGTTAGAGGATCTTCAGCGGGGGCACTCCCATTGACCCCTTTTGACTTGTGGTTGTCTTGAATGGTTCGGTCCACAAGAATCAATATGAGACCAAGGTCATAGAATTTGAGTGGAAAAGTCAATTTTCAATGCTACCAAAACCAAACAACTAAAATACCAATCACAATTAATTTAAAAAGAGAGAAAAAGAGAAAAAAATTATATTGAACATAAATTCAATAAAGGGTGGTATGTATACTGTGGCTAGATTTTTTCTTCATTGTCATGTCGGTGTAAAAACAAGTGAATTATATTAACTTACTATTTTAGGGTTAAAATGGAGAATGATCCCATTTTGGGGATTTCAAGTATAATCTTTTATATCACTTTTCCCATTTTACCTTTGTCTCTCTAACTCTTACACTTCAACACTTGCATACATTGGTACAACTACGTTACTGTTAAATTGCTCAACTTATTTTGGCGAGTAAAAGAAGTCAACACAAATCACAAAAGAGTAAAAGCACAAATTAAGATGGTTGGGTTGCTTCGAGAGAACCTCAGATACACTTGGTTTGTACAATCAACTAGAATTGGCCATCGGCAAAATTGTACACATTAATTGTTATGCCTAAAAATACAAGGCAGACATAAGTTGATGTCAGCGAGCATCAATCAGAGTTCAGGAAGACTTTAAGCCATCTAGAGTCTGCCACATTGCCCAAGACAAAAAGAATATAGTTGTCAACAACCCAACTAACTCAAGTTTTGTTTGTGAATAAATTTGGTTCGCACACCTATCCAAGCCCCATTTAATTGAAGGATAATATTTCCTAAGTTATCAATCAATAAGACGCCAAGCAAGATTTGCACAGCACCACCCTACTTGCAGATATGTAATCATTACCTTGAGCTTAGTGGTATAAATAGATAGCTCCCCCTCACAAAATCAGGGCCAGACACTCTGAATTCAACAAAGAAAATAGCAAAGACACCCTACAGGAAAGTGACTAGCTTGATATTCTCTAAGAACACTTAGAACACTAAACACCTGTAACCCACATTGTAGTTCCCGACCTCTTGTAAACTTGGCTAATAAAACTCACTCATATAAAAGAAAACAGTGGATATAGGATTCGCTTTAAGCTTCTGAACCACTATAAAACTCTTATTGTCTCATTTACTTTAAGTCTTTGCATGATAATAGTATTCCGTAATCAACTCTTATAATTGTTCGCGTGTAATTTCTAGGATCTTTCTTAGTGCTTTGCACATGTGAGGTCGTTGGTGTCAAAATCATGCATCAAAAGTTTGGTGCTAGAAGGAGGGCTAAGATTCACATAAGCTCTCTATCCGATATTTTCAATTGATCCATCAATTTCACCTTCAAAGGTCAACCACAAAAACTCATGGCTCGCAATTTTGAAGCCGAGTGCGCTGGCACCAATAACGAGCAAACTCCCTGCAATCAGGAGACTACTCCCCCCAAAGTAGTTGCTCTTTCCCTGAATGTTTCCCTAAACCTTAGTGATGGTGGTATTACAGTTTGGCCTGACAGTGGATTCCTTCCTATCAATGTGCTCACTTCCTTATATAGGACTCTCTTTAAAATCATCATTACCAACTGGTCTCCATCTAGGCATAACTCCTCAATTAGACTTGATAAAGCCCAATTGTTGTATGGCATTTTGCAAGGAAATAAAATTGACCTTGCCTCTGTTATTTATAAATTAATCAAGACCATTGGTGAGTCTGAAGAAAAATCCTTCATTCTGCCCTTCCCTTCCCTTCTCTGGTCACAAGATTTGTTGACTCTTATGGGGCTCCAAAAAGGCCAAATAATAAGTTCCTTAAAATTAGAAGTATCTCTTCTAAAACCCTCACGTTTGTTGCCCTTGCTATAGATGTCCCTTCATCCTCTTAAGCCCTTCATGTAAAATCCAGTGCTCAGCAGTCCAAAGTGTTTGAGTTGTTACAGGCTCTTGATAAGAAATTAGACTCTTTTTACACCACCTTGATGGCTCGAGTTGACTCTCTTGAAACTGTCCTTAAAGAAACTAGAGTTGAACTTCTAAGTAAAGGATCTTCAAGTGGTTCCAAGGATGCCCCTGCTGGCTCTACTTCTGCTGAAAAGGCTGATGTACCTGCTGAATCTCAAGCTGATCTGAATGCCAACTCTGCCGGTGAAAATGTTGTTCTTGAAGGTCAAAATCTAGTCTTTTTCGAAGACATCATAGAAATTGATGGAGAAGGTGCTATAGATGAACCTGAGTCTGAAGTTGCAGCTGAGCAAAGTGCAAAAGGAACTTCTAGCCTCTATGGCTGCTTTTGAAATTGATCCCTCAAACAGAGAAAAGGAACCTGACAATGTGACTCCTCTTGCTGGTTCTCAGACTGTAGAAGATGCCTCTGGTGTGGACACCCTTGCTCTTGTGTTCACCTCTACAGTTGATCCTCCTTCAACTCGTACACCTGGCAAAACTCGTGTCAAAACTGTTGGCAAGAAGCCCCCCAGGAGATCTTCTCGTCTCAAAAGCTGATCTCTTATGATCAAAGAGGGCGAGATGATGATGATGATGTTGAATGGGCTGATGGGCTAACGGCTTAGGGACTCATTTATTTATTTATTTATTTTTTTTTGGCAAAAACTTTATCTCTTATTATTGACTTTTTGTTAGTGTGACCACTGCTATTTATATGTCATCACATTTTTTTTGTTTCTTTTCATATGCAGAACGTTTTAGTTTTTTTTTTTTTTTAATTGATTAGTGCTTCTTGTTTTTGCTAATGATCTATTTGGTTGTTTGTATTATTGCTAATATGTCCCTTGTTATGCAGATTCTCTTGATTGTTATATTGATCTGCCCTCTTTTGGAAATTCTTGGTAACTCTCTTCCTATTGTGTGTAGCTTAGGGGGAGATCTTTTGTTGAGGGGGAGTGATTTTATGCTTCATTTTGTTATTATTGTTTTCCTCCTTAGTAATGTTTTTCCAGTACGTTGTCTTTGAAGTGTGCTTTGATCATAAGTGACAAAGGGGGAGATTGTTAGTATTTTTGTCATCTTATGATCCTAATTTTGTGTCCTGCCTATTATTTATCTTCTACTATTGTGCACACACTTCTAAAGGCCACCTTCACAAGTGTAAGCACTTTAGCCTATGCGTGTTCACAACGTTTCTGGCAAATATTTTTCCTCAAATCAAACTTCACGCACTTGTTTTCACTTCTGGACAAAATTATTCCTTGATTGATTTTCTATCTTATTCTTTACATTTGTCCCCTATTTATTCGTTTTGTAAGAAAATGAATAATTTTTTTGTCTATGGTCCCAAAATGTTTTGTGCAAAAAGAAAGACATAAAAGTTAAAGTTTAACTTTTTTGTCTCCTAACCCTTAACGTGTTGATCTCTTTATATTCTCCCGTTTTGTTTCTATTTTTGTAAGAAACCTGATTACATTGTTTTGCTTCTTTGAATATTCTCTAAGATTCTTGTTTTGTTAAAGTTTCTTACTATGCTTTGGTAGGCTTAGAATTACCCTCATCACTTATCCTTGTGTGATATCTTTTGGATGTTGTTTTCCTTATGATGAGAGCTTGAGTGTAAGCTACTGTCCTGTCTTCATTGTTGATTCTTGAGAGGATCTCTTTTTCAACATGATGTTGTTGTGCACGTGAAGCTTGTTATGATGGCTTGAAGTTCGATCAAAGAAGATAGAATCGTTGTGTAGAAAACAGAGAGTGTTTTACAACTTTTGGTTATCTTACTTTGTAATTGAACTCATAAGTATTTTATAGTGAATTTGCTTCTCTGGACATGGTCTCATGGATGTAGGCTTGATGCCGAACCATATAAAAATGAGCGTGTTCTTTACTTGTTTTTATGTATGTTTTAATTCAATTATTCGCAACTCACTTGCACTAAATTGAACAAGCAACCCATTCTATATAAGTTTTAATCACTTGGTAATCCTCTTAAAACTTACAGAAGAATTTCTGAAACTGTTTTGAGTTACAACTTAATTTCGTTGTTGTCAAACTATTTAAGCCCCGAGAAATTCGTTGTAGAAAATAATTTTGGTATCAAATTGCAGATTTTTTATTGTTGTAGTGAATCTATGCTTTATGTTCGTTGGCCATAGCGGGGGCATAAGTTCAATATGACATTTAAGGGTTTATTTCTTATACTTGACATTTTAGAGACCTAAGGTTACATGTAGATCTCTCTAGGTGTTTTAAGAGAATATCTCAATTAAATAGAGTAGTTGTCATTGTGCTTGAGAGAGAGAGAGAGACCTTAGAGTTTAACTCTATGGTATGTTCTTATGAAACACTTTTCACAAGAGTTCTCTAGACGAACAGAGCATAGGATTTACATCATTGGAGTGGAGTTCTGTAGACCTTAGATGCTTATTTGTAGTGTAAGCCTACGACAACATTGAAGAGGAGTTCTTTGTCAAGTATCTTTAGTTTATGCTTTTAAACCTACTGGGGTATCTAATACCAAATAAAACTACAACTAGATTAAATATATTACAACTCAAAGAGTAAATACTACAACACACTCGTATATAGTACATAACACTTGAGATGAGAACATTGGCGTTATACATTTTTTTCACAAGTTCCTCACCAAGAGATGAAGTCCATGTTGTGGCCCTATAACCAACCTAATAGCAGGCGAGTGTGTGTATTTAGGAGAAATAGAGAAAGAGAAGTTGGACAAAATGAGAGCTACTAGCATTTTAAGTTCAACTATGGCCAAGTTCTGTCCAAGACACACTCGAGGCCCAACCCCAAATGGCATATATACGTGTGGAAGCTTGCAAGCACCTGTTATCCCATTAACAAATCTATCTGGTTTAAATTCGTAGGCATCTGCTCCCCATATTTCAGGATCTGTATGCAATGTCAACACCAGTGTCCAAATGTTTATACCTTTGGGAATATCAATGTTTCCAAATCTCATGTCTTTTAAGGCTTCTCTTGACACTACCACCACCGGAGGATATAGACGCAGTGCTTCATGAATTACCATGTTAAGCTGCAAAACCAAAATAGATTAAATTAAACCAAGAGAATTCTATGTATATATATATATGCGCGTGTGTGTGTGTTATTTACCTGCTTCATCTTACGAAGCATATCAGAATCTGGAATTCGACCCTCACAAACTTGAAGAACTTCTGCACGGACACGATCTTGCCATTCTTGATGTAAGGCTAAAAGCATGAGACACCATGTGGCAGAAACTGCTGTAGTCTCGTACCCAGCCATGTATATATTCTTGCAGTTATCAACTATAAATTGGCGACTTGCCTCTTGGCCGAGTTTCATATTTTTAGCACCTTCAGTAATTATCTTTAATAGGTCTTGCCGTTCATGATTTGTACTTTCCACCTCCCTCTCCTTCGTTACCTGCAGAATTAAATTGCGGATTTCCTTCTCTAATGCCCATGCATCTCTGTTACTCTTTGTGGGAAGATGCCTGTAAAATTTAATTTAGTTTTATTTAGTATTAATTAAGAAACCATTTCATCTAAAATGATCATATATATCTGAGGAGAAATAAATAAATAAATATTAAGTTCACCTCATGCCTGGAACCCCTTTGGATAGACTTTTCCTGGACATATTCTCCTGAAGAGATCTCAATTTCTGAAAAATTTCATCTCCTCTGGAATAATAACTTCCAAAACAAGCTCTTGAGATAACATCTTTAGAGAAATTTCTCACGTAATCGTCAATTTTAATGTCGGCTATTCCTCCCTCTGTCTCAATAATGGTTTTCCATGAGTTTAATAGATTGATGGTTGAGTCAGAAATTAGATTCATCATCCCCTGCAATTAAATTTATATTGTTAATCAATTACTTAATTAATTAATTAATCAGACAATTAATGCATATAATATATATATATATATATACCTTAACCTTGTCCATATATAAATGAGGAGCAAGGAGTTTTCTTTGATGAAGCCATACATGTCCACTTGAAGTTAAAATGCCCTTACCAAGAAGAGGACCACGCTCCTTCTGCTGATATGAAGGCTTCCCCAAATCTAAAGATGTGCAAGTGCTTATCTCTTTCACTACATCACCTTCGGCAACACATAATATGTTTATGTTTCCCAATGAAAACATAAACACTTTACCTGTTTTTGTCATGAATTTTCAATCTCATAGAAAGATGTAAATGAGACATATTATTAATTAGAGATATTTTTTACTCATATAGGAACATCATATCAAAGCTTTGCATAAATAATGAATGCTATTAATCATGATCATTAACGAAAGGGAAATGTAGAAATGAACCATAAAAACATACCATATTGCTTAATCCATTGCTCAAAAAAGGGAAAGATAACAGGAGCAATGTTGTGGGAGATGGATGATGAAGTATTAAGAAGAATGGATTGAGATTTCTTGAGCTCCCTAATATTTCCAAGAAGCAAAGTTGGTGGTGGACCGATGATGCCCTGTTTTCTCATCTTTGCTCCAAGTCTCTCTGGTTTCAATACCAATCCATAATATAAGCGTATCAAAACGAAACCAATCACACCAACCCAACCTAACAAATAAAACCCATCAAACTCCATGCCTACTATTTCTCTCTCTTACAGATCGACGAGCTGCAAGAGAAGCAGATTGAGTTGTTTGTTTGTTTACTCAGTTGCCTTATAAATACTGTGAGTTGCCTTGAAGGACACCCTGGGTTTATATGAGAATAATCAACACCCACAGGTTTTCGAATAATACAAAGACACCCCTAAATATCATAAGAAAATAATTATTTAGTTATGCTGCAGATGTTTTGGTCATCAGTTGTATGAATGGGGTAGGGATTACTTTAATGACACCTAAAATTAAGCTAGTGGTGCTTTTAATTTTAGAAACGATTATGTGAATTTATTTGTTTTTCATTTTAGAAAATGAAAAACAAAAGGTTAGGAAGAAGAGATTTTTTATTATTATTGTTATTTTATGTTAGTTCTATTTTGTCAGTGTAAAATGTGAATTAAATTCATTAATAAGTACTTTGTTTTTGTAAATAGATAAGTAGTATGTATTATTAAGGGTATTTTGATCATTCATTTAATTTATTTCACATCAATTTGTATAAAAAAGTTTGTAAAAAAAAATTACTACCATCTCTATTTTTAATTGCCATTAGAAGAATGTGTTGACAAATAGTTTTAATTATCTCTTTAAAGATCAAATTACCAGTAATTCTTCACTTCTAATTATATAAAATAATATTTTTAAATTTGAATGAAAATTAATATTATTTCGTAATTTTCTCTTATTTACTTACAAAACAAAAAACCGAAGAAGTGAGGCAGATTTAGAGAGAAAAACAATAATTAGAGACTATTAAATTGTTTTAATTTGTGTGTAAATGCGTGATTTTAATGTGATATTTAATAATTTTTTGTAAATGTACCTAAATATAGAATTCAATAATATTCGATTAACAATCTTAATTAAGAAAAAGTTCAGGTAAAAGACCAAAAAGTCCTTCCAATGTTTGATTTAAGGCTATCTAGATCAATTGTTAGCGTGAGTATAAAACAATAATTGAGTCAAATTACATCGGACAAACCTTAGAAATGAAGATGTAATTTCCTTGCGATGTGGTTTCAATTTTACTTTATTTACAATCTACTTTTGGGTTAATAAAAAAATGCCCTTTAATTATACTTAAATTAAAAAAAAAAATCCCTTATAATTATTGATAACAAAAATTCCTCTATCTTAAGTTTTTTGTATTAAAATAAGCGATAGAGGATTAATTAGGTAGATAATTATTAACACATCATATTATAAATTCTAATGACTCACTAACAACATGAGGATTTATATTATTTCTAAAATTTCAGGGGGACATTGTTATTTGATTAAACTTTAGGGGGTAAACATCTCCCTTTTTCCTCTCTATTTTCAATTTAACGACAATTTGTAATTGTGGGGATGGCATTCCATTTAGAAAAGCAAAACGAGGTCATTCGGTTGAGTCAAGTAATCTAACATAAAGAGTGCGCTTGGTTCACGTAATATAAGATTGCAGAGGTAATCTTCCTTTAACTTTCAAGATTCCTTTATTTGGTTTACAAGTAATAAAATATTACGAATATTTTTAATTATAAATAGTATTTACTATTAATAATATATAAGGTAATTTCAAGGGGTGTTATTAAAAGATACCGAGGTAATCTAATTTTTGTACCTATTTTACCCTTAATTAAATAATATTTTTGACACAATTGCCCTTAAATGTCTACCAAATAACCATCCCAAACCCCCTATATTTGAAATTTAGCTAAAACACCCCAACTACAAAAATTTAAAAATTAACAAAATACCCCCAACCACCCAAGACCACTGCCGGCTGCCAGCGGCAGTTGCCATAATGGCGACGACTAGCGGATCTGGCCGGTCGTGCACCGATAAAGCCGTTATGCCGATCTGGCTATTTTCATGGCCTTTTCATGATTTGTGGTCATTTCAAGGCCACATACCGGTGCACGACCGGCTAGATCCCGCTGGTCGTACACCATTACGGCAGCTACCAGTAATGGTGGTTGGCTATTGGCAGTGGCTTGGAGTGGGTGGGGGTGATTTTACTACAAATAAAAGTTTTATATAGCGAGGTATTTTAGCAAAATTTCAAATGTAGGGGGTTAAAAAGAAATTATTCAAAAATTAATATTATATTAATAGTTTAAAAGGAGGGTAATTTAGTATTCTACATAACGTACCCACCTATTTATCCTTCTAACCAAACATATTAATATAACATACCCATCAATTTATTTCAACCAGCCAAACACATTTCCCTAAACATTTCTAGTAATTTTTAAGGTAATTTATATTTCTATTAATATAAAATTCTCAATAATAAAACATTCTCAAAACCAAATGCACCCAAAGAAAAAAGATGTTCTCAAATAAGATTGTCTAACGTTTCAAGGATTTTTATTATATTTAGTCTTATTTCATGTGGTTGAGTTTTTTTTTTTTTTTTTCTTAATTACATTTATATACTTTACATTGTAATCTATATTTATTTTTTCTTAAATATTAACAAAGAATCTTATAACATGATAGAGTTGGAAGGTGGAAAGTAGCATTTCAAGTCAAGTCAACCAAAGTTTCCAATGGAGATTGTTAAACTTTGTGTTTCACAATGACCCAACTCCATCTTTTCGTGTTTCATACAACTTAACCTAACACTTTAAGACTTTCTTTTTAAGTAAATAATAATAATAATTTTAATTTTAATTTTAATTTAAGATATTTGAAAAAAAAAATCAATTCATCTCTTGATATCAATCCATCAAACAAATAACGAGATTTAAAACTGTTGATGCTGTGATTTGCACCAACGAGAAGTACGTTGGATTCGTAGGGGAAGCCACGTAAGAGTTTGTATAAAACCTGTGATTTCGATGTTAGATCAATGAATGAACAGGAAATCAAAAAATAGCACAAAGAAAAAGATTTTTTGGCTCGGATGCTAAGTGCAAATCCTACATCCACTGTTCTTATATTATTTTCTGTATTTTCTTTGTGCACAAATACAGCTTCCAAAATGTAAATCAAAATCAGATATGGCTATTTCTATGGCCTTTTCATAGCTATATCTGTGGTCGTTTCAAGGCTACATCTTCACGGCCATAAAAACGGCCTTGCTGGCGCACGACCAGCCAGATCCCACTGGTTGTGCACCATTACGACAACTGTTGGCAATGGTGGCTAGCTATTGACAATGGCTTTGGATGGGTGGAGATGGTTTTGCTACAAATAAAAAGTTTTATATGGCGGGATGCTTTAGCAAAATTTCAAATTTAGGGGATTAAAAAAATAATATTATATTTATATTTTAAAGGAATGGCAATTTAGTATTCTATAGAACATACTCACCCATTTATCATTCCAACTAAACATATTTAATATAACATACCCATCAATTTATTCCAACTAGCCAAGCACATTTCTCTAAACATTCCCAGTAATTTTCAAGATAATTTATATTTTCATTAATATAACATTTCCAATAATAAAACATTCTCTGAATCAAATGTACCCAAAGAAAAAAGATGTCCCCAAATAAGATTGTCTAACGTATCAAGGATTTTTATTATATTTAGTCTTATTTCACGTGGTTGAGTTTTTTTTTTTTTTTTTTTTTNGAGATAGATGATGTGGAGTACATCCCGGGAATTTCTTCATCAAATCTAGCGGACCTTAAAGCAGTGTTCCAAAGAAATGATCATGGAGTGTTGCAGCTTGCCCTGGATTGCATTTCTAGGGTGCCAAAAGCACAATATCTTCTATTCACTTCTATCTACGAGCTTGAACCCCAAGTTACCAACAATTTAAGGGAAACTTTTCCTTTTCCTGTGTACCCTATTGGCCCTGCTATACCTTACCTAGAACGTGAGCAAAACAACTATGGAACTAATAATAGTACTAATGACCATGGCTATATACAGTGGCTAGATTCTAAACCAGCAGATTCAGTACTGTACATCTCATTAGGCAGCTTCCTCTCTGTTTCAAGTACGCAAATGGATGAAATTCTTGCTGGCTTGCAAAATAGCAATGTTAATTTCGTGTGGGTGGCTCGTGGAGAAGCTTCTCGTTTGAAAGAAATTTGTGGAGATAAAGGGTTGGTACTGCCTTGGTGTGACCAATTAAGGGTGTTGTGCCATTCTTCTGTAGGTGGTTTCTGGACACATTGCGGATGGAATTCCACTCTAGAAGCTGTTTTTGCTGGGGTTCCCATGCTTACTTTTCCCCTATTTTTGGATCAAGATCCTAATAGTAACCAAATTGTGGAAGATTGGAAAATTGGGTGGGAGGCGAAGAGAGAGATTGGAACTCAAAAAATTTTAACAAGAGAAGAAATTGCTGAAGTTATAAAAAGGTTTATGGATTTGAATAGCGATGAGGGTATAGAAATAAGAAGAAAAGCAAGACAACTTAGAGATATTTGTCAAGGAGCTACCACAGAAAGCGGATCATCTGTAATCAACCTTACTGCATTCATTCAAGACATTTCACAAGGACATAACCATTGATCATATTATATATTTCATCTCATTAATCACCTCTTAGAAAAACCATCAGCCAGGGACCATACTTCTGTGGCTAAAATAATTTGGTCGAAAGTTTTTCTGTCGAATACAGTTGTCACTAAGCATTTGCTAGATTCTGTTATCTAGGGTATCTGACTTTGATTTAGTTCTTAAAACTCACCTGCTTGTGTAAATTTTGAATCAGTTGAAAAAATATCTTGTCTTCTTCCTGGATTATTGGCAGTTCCATGAGGGCAATTTACCTAAAATCCTTGATTTCTGGTCAAAAAGGTGGTAAAAGGAATACTGGCCATACATTTGTAAGTCGGTTCTAAATACGATGCATATGACTTCATCACAAATTGACCCACAAAATATTATACAAGCATTTTCTTTTATTTCATCTTATCTGTAATTTTTCAAAACCAGAAGTGATCTGTTTTTATCTGAAAACGTTATCCTGAGCTCACTTTAGAAGATGATAAAGGACGCACCTCTTGTTCTTCCAAACTCTACCAAGATAAACAGCCCAACTGAGAGATGTACTCAACCGCCATCTGTCATGTGGTTGCGATGCCTTATCCAGGCAGAGGCCACATCAACCCTTTGATGAACCTCTGCAAATTGTTAGTTTCTAGAAAGCAAGATATTATCATCACCTTTGTTGTCACAGAAGAGTGGCTAGGATTAATCGGCTCCAATCCTAGGCCTGATAACATACGCTTCAGAACAATTCCTAATGTCATCCCATCTGAGAGGGTTAGGGCACAAGACTTTCCTGGCTTCTACGAAGCTGTCATGACAAAGATGGAAGCTCCTTTTGAACAGCTTCTTGATCGGCTTGAACCACCTGTGACTGCCATCATTGCAGATCTTGAGTTAAGGTGGCCAATCAATCTGGGGACTAGGAGGAATATTCCAGTGGCTGCACTTTGGACAGCGTCAACATTATATTTCTCTTTGCTCTATCATTTTTATCAATTCTCAAAAGAACATCTTGCAGTCTTGAACCTGCCAGGTAGGTAAGAGTAACTCGTCAGCATATTACATATCGTCTAGTTGGGGACTTTGAATTTACTGTTGAAATGCGAACTTTATATATATACATAAGAACTAGCAGAATTTACTGTTTCTGTGCTAAAAATTTTATTAAATGCAAAATAATGATTGAGATTGTGTCATTGTGTATGTTAGATCATGTGGACTACATCCCTGGAATTTCTTCATCAAATATAGCGGACCTTAAAACAGTGTTCCACAAAAATGACAATGGAGTCTTGCAGCTTCTACTGGATTGCATTTCAAGGGTGCCAAAAGCACAATATCTTCTATTCACTTCCATCTACGAGCTTGAACCGCAAGTTACCAACAACTTAATATCAGCTTTTCCGTTTCCTGTCTACCATATTGGTCCTGCTATACCTTACCTAGAACTTAAAAATGACGCCTTTGGAAGTAATTGTAATAGTGCCAATGAACCTGACTATATAAGATGGCTAGATTCTAAAGCTGCAGATTCTGTTCTTTACATCTCATTAGGCAGCTTCCTCTCTGTTTCAAGTGCCCAAATGGATGAAATTCTTGCTGGCTTGCAAAATAGTAGTGTTTGTTTCATGTGGGTGACTCGTGGAGAAGCTTCTCAGTTGGAAGAAATTTGTGGAGATAAAGGGTTAGTACTGCCCTGGTGTGACCAATTAAAGGTGTTGTGCCATTCTTCTGTGGGGGGTTTTTGGACACATTGTGGATGGAATTCTACGCTCGAAGCTGTATTTGCTGGAGTTCCTATGCTTACATTTCCTCTGTGCTTTGATCAAGATCCTAATAGTAACCAAATTGTGGAAGACTGGAAAATTGGGTGGAGAGTGAAGAAAGAGATTGGAAGTCAAAATATAGTTACAAGAGAGGAAATTTCAGATCTTGTACAAAGGTTTATGGATTTGAGTAGCAATGAGGGAAAAGAAATGAGAAGAAATGCAAGACAAGTAAGAGATACCTGTCATGGTGCAATTGCGGAAGGTGAAGGTGGATCATCTGTAATCAACCTTAATGCATTCATCCGGGACATTTTAAAAGGACAAAGCCACAAATAGAATTCTTTAGTGTATGTAACTGACAACCTGTTTGAACATAATCAGTATTAATATCTTATTAGTTATGTTACTCATAGATCAACTTTAGTTAGTGACAATATACTAACTAAATTGACTTTCTTTCCGTACCTTTTTTTATAGAAAAGGGCGAAGAACGTGTGGACTACATCCCAGGAGTTTCTTCAACACGTCTGATGGACTTTCCGTTGCATAACAGTGGAGTAAACCCATATATGTTGCAGCAATTCTATAGGATTATTTCGTGGTAGCATAAATCACAATATCTATAGGATTATTTCGTGGTAGCATAAATCACAATATCTTTTAATCACTTCAATTTATGAGCTAGAACCCTATGCTATTGAGGCTTTAAGGGCAAAGATTCTATTACTCATCTACCCATCTAGCCCTTCAATGCCCTGGTTCAAACTTGGAGACAATTCATCTTTAAGTCCTAACCACAATGAAATCAACTACATAGAGTGGCTAAACAACCAGCCCAACAATTCAGTTCTTTTGTGTCTCTTTTGGAAGTTTTCTTTTGGTTTCAGGCGCTCAAATGGATGAAATTGCAGCTGGTTCGAGCAGTGGCGGTGTTAGGATCTTGTGGGTAGTTCGTGGAGAAACAGGTAAACTAAAAGAGGGTTTTGGTAAAATGGGATTGATAGTTCCCTGGTGTGACCAATTTAAGATGTTATCTCATCCTTGTCCAGGGGTCTTTTGGACAGATTGTGGGTGGAATTCTATTAGAGAAGGTGTTTTTGCAGGAATGCCTTTTCTGTCATTCCCAATAGGAATGGACCAAATTACAAATAGTTAGTCAATCGAGGAAGATTTGAAAATTGGTTGGAGAGTTAGAAAGGAGACGAGGGGGGTGGAAATTTTGGTGAAAAGAGATGCAATAATGGAGCTTTTGCGGAAGTTTGTGGATATGGAAAGCACCGAAGTCAAAGAAATGAGGAAAAGGGCGAAAAATCTCCAGGAATTATATGAAAATGCAATTGCAGAAGCACCAAATCCTTCATTCGGTACATTGCTCAATATTCTCAGTGGGCATAGAGCTGCCTCCAAAAATATTCATGATTCATCTGTATGAAACTTGTGAATTTGACCATGTGGTAAAACACAAAATCTCTTGGATTGGAGCAATTTCATCGTTTTTTGTGTCTTACGATGGTTAGGTATATATGAGATTGTTTTGCATCATGATATTGTTTTAAAAGGGGTAAAATCTATCTGATCAATTTCTACAATCTGTTACCTACATTCCCAGTCTTGATATAAAGTGCACCGGACTCCGTCTTGGTCTTCAAGTTCTTCACTTGTGTTGTTATTGTCCCAGCTGAAAAAATAAATGCCTATGGATAAACTTTACACTAGGGGTGGGCGGGTCCAGGTACCCGCCTAAAAGCAAAGGAAATAAGGAATAGGAACCGGCCAGTTCCTTTGATTTGGAGCTTGAAGTGGAATCGGTTTCGGGTATCAAAAAAAATATAAATTACCCCCCAAATTTTAAAAAAATGACAAATAAACCCTTAAAAACTATAATTACACCTCTAACAGTTTTCTGAAATGGCAAATACACCGTGCGGACTTTACAAAAATTACAACTATCCTAATATCCATTTCATCCTCCCAAAATTAAAATTACATAACACATTAAATAACATAACATAATAAGTTAATAACATATCAAGTTTCATCCTTCCAAAATTCTATTATGATATATATGCTCACATAATGTTAACTGTATTATTATTTAAATAATTTTTATGTAATACAATTTAAACAATGTTTTATGTTTTTAAACTTAAATATAAATACCAAGTTGAATTGTAATGTTCTATGGAAGAATATAATATGCTAAAAAGTAGAGATTTTAAAGTGAAAAAGTATTGGCATATGATGTAAGTATAAAAAGAGTTATTTAATTGGACATATGCGTAGTTGTTGCTACTAAATAATAATAATATTATCAAAATAATTTAAACAAATTATTCATACATTTTTCATCGAATAAAAAGTAAAAAAAAAAAAAAATTAACTTTCTTAATTCACTTAAGTGGCGTTTGATCATTTATGTGACATCTGAATATGTCCAACTACTAGATAGACTTAAATGTAAAACATTAAATAATATATTTGTTTATATTTACTTGATGCTTAATTATAAGTATTTAATTGTTTGTTTTCACCAATAATAAACATTTAAAAGCCATTATTTAACGTAAATGTCTTAATGTATATTAGTTTTTTAATTAAGTAACAAGTGAAATTTAAAAATTAATAAAAATATTTTGAAGAACTGATATTTTAATGAAAATTAATAAGACTTTTGATACTAAGATAAAAAACCAAAATTTTCTTACATATTTATGACATGCAAAATATCAAAAAAAAAAAAAAAAAAAACCATTCTTTAATATTATCTCAATTAGTCCCAGTTCTTTTGATTTGGAACCGGAACCGGAACTCACAGTATTGGTTCCAATTTTTTGGAATCGGAACCAACCCTGTTACGATCGGTTCAAGGTAGGAACCGAAATTGACACCCGGGTACCCGTCGGTTCCGGTTCTACCCTAAAATTTTGCCCACCCTTACTTTACACAAGGCAAAACGGAGCACCAATTAATAAGAGATCAAATATAGAAATATTAATTATTATAATGGGACCAATAACATAAAGAGTTTGTTGTGGTGTATGATGACCATGTGATTGGGTGAGATGCTATTTTTTCGTTGAGAGACTTACTGACTTGCTCGTTGTTATTGTGAAGACTTTGCTGTGGTGTATCCTCAATCTCTTTGTTTTCTTTGCCTTGAGTCTTCTTTGTGTCTCATTGTATGTGTTTTTGGGAGTCAAACCTAAGGGATTGTCCTGAGGGTGGTGTTTTGTTGTTGATTTCTTACTTAGATTCTTTCTCTTGGGTCTTATCTCCCTTTTCTCTTGGTTTAGACAGGCTCCCAAGAGAATTGTGTAGCGTCAAAGTTTAGGCATTTGTTTATTTTTTGCACCTTACGCAGGGGATGTCTTGATGTAGGTTGGCCGCCTTTTTTGTAGGCCTTTGTAAACCCTTCTTCTTTTTAATACAATACACTTAGCCAAAAAATAAATAAATAAAGAGTTTGATATTATATAACCCTAACAGGTTGACCTAGTGGTCAAAGAGGTTTGCTCCCGTCGTTGGCTTCTTGGATTCGAACCTTGAGGCCACCTACCACTTTGTGACTTACTTAATCCTTTGGGTTTGTAGGGTATTCAAGGACCCAGAGGATTAGTTGAGGTGTACGTAAGCTAATCCGGACACCTAGATTACCTAAAAAAAATGACAAAGGGCATGTGTCGTCGAAAGCTGCCACATGTACCAAGCCACCGCTTAATTTAATTAGTATCTCGTTCAATGTGTAGACAAAGAAGTGATTAATTCAATATAGAGTTTAGGGTGTGTTTGGGTGGGGGTTATATGAAATTACTGAGGTAATGTCATCTTATATTACTTGATTATTATGTTTGATTGTCAAGTAATATAAGATTCTGATAATCTTCCAATATTAATAGTAGTTATTGTTGGTAATATTGGAGGTAATTTAATTACCTCCATTTTTTTAGATATTTTAAGATTACTTGGTTATCTTATTTTTGTTACAATTTTACCCTCTATTAATAAAATTTTAGGACAATAATGCCCTTGTTTTAAAAACAATTTACAAAAATATCAATTGACTATTTTATCCTTATATACAAAGTTTTTAGGATGTAAATACCCTTGAAATTATACAAAATTACCCAAGGGTGGTGGTTGGATCTAGCCACCACAACCAACCGCCAAAAACCATTGCCGACGACTATTGGCGATGACAGAATGGCACATAACCAGCAATATTTGGCCCACTGTGCGCTGATAAGGCTGTTTTTATCCATGGTTGGAAACAGCAAAATATGGCCGTGAAAGGCAAGATATTTGGTCGTGCAGATCTAGCCATGAAAGGCTAGATATTTGGCCGTGAAATGGCCATTGTTTCACAGCCAAATATTTGGCCTTTCATGGCCAAATCTCCACTTTTGCCACCGCTGACGGTGATGGCAGGCCGCCGGCAGTGGCTTGGGGTGGGGCGAGGTGTCTTTTGTTAAGTTTTAAACTTTTTTTGTTGCTAGGGTGTTTTAGCTAAATCTGAAATATAGGGGGTTCAAAGAAATTATTCAAATAATAATAATAAAAATAATATTATATTAATATTTAACGATGAGAGCAATTTAATAAATTATATAATATACCCACCAATTTATTCCTCCCAACCAAACATATTAACATAACATGCCCATCAATTTATTCCAACCAACCAAACACATTTCCCTAAATATTTTCAGTAATCTTTAAAGTAATCTATATATTCAGTAATATTACATTTCCTGAACTAAAATAAACACATCCTAGAGGTCGTTTGGATCAGGGGTAAATAAGATAATAGGGGTAATATTTGTTTATTTTGCAAGATTCTTGTATTTGGTTTGCAAGTAATAAAATATGACGGTAATCTTTTATTACAAATAGTGGTTACTGTTGGTAATGTGAAGGGTAATCTTATTACCTTGTTAGGAGATGTTATTAAAACATTACCAGGGTAGTATGATTTTTCTTCCCATTTTGCCCTTAATTAAAAACCATTTCGGATACAATTGCCCTCAAATGTCTACTAAATAACAATTATCCAGTCCCCTACATTTGAAAAATTAGCTAAAACACCCCAGCTACAAAAAAGTTTAAACGTTAACAAAATATCCCCAGCCACCCAAGACCACCATCGGTTGTGACTCACCACCGCCACCCGCCAGCGTCAGTCACCATAATGGTGCACGACCAGCAGGATTTGACCAGTCGTGCACCGGTAAGGCCTTTTTGGGCCATGGATCACAGATCCATGGCCAGAAACGACCAGATCTGGTGTTTCTATGGCCGTGAAATGGCCATAGATCTGGCTGTTTTCTGGCCATGGCCATTTCTGGCTTTGCCGGCGCACGGTTGGCCATACACGGCCAGTTGTGGGTCATTCTGTTGATTGTCGGCAGCAGTTGGCAGTGGCGACTGGTGGATGGAGATGATTTTACTACAAATTAAAGTTTTATATGATTGAGGTGTTTTAGCAAAATTTCAAATATAGGGGGTTAAAAGAAATGATTCAAAAAATAATAATAAAAAATACTATTATATTAATATTTAAAAAGGAGGGCAATTTAGTAATCTATATAACATACCCATCCATTTATCCTTCCAACCAAACATATTATTTACTAATTTATTCGAATCAACTAAACACATTTTATAAACATTCTCAATAATCCTCAAGGTAATCTTTCTTTCCGTTAATATAATATACCTCTATAATAAAACAATATGATCCAAACACCCCCCTAATGATAAAAAACTTTACTCAATGAAACCTCAGTGCAAAAATGGTATTTTCAAAGTATTTAACTCTTCTTTATAGTATTAGAGCATCTCTAATAAAACTTTTTATTTTTAAAGAGCATTTTTCGTATAAATAAAGAGCATCTTCATTGATTTTTAAATATAAAAAACAAAATATTTATTCAAATCCAATAGACTCTTTAAATTATAGGAGAGATAATATATTTTTTTCAAAGAAAAAACTTAATGGGAAAGATAAATAATAAATAAAATGCATAGAAACTTGTGATTTGTTATTTAAAATTAAGATAGAGAGTAAAATTTTACTCTCTAAATGTGGAGAATCAAACTCACTCTTTAATTTATATTTAAAGAATAAAGAGTTTGTTAGACTCTTGTTTCTATAGATAAACTCTTTATAATAAAGAGTTTTGGTCAATGTTTTAAAACCCAACCCGAGGTGAAACCCAGCAAATTTTTCGGGTCCCAGGTTGACCCGTTAACAAAAAACTTTAAAACTCAACAAATACACCCCTGAAAATCACCTGCAAGTCCCTACATGTTTGAACTTTATCAAATACACCCCAAATGAAAATCGACCGGTGACTGATCAGCAGCGGTGACACCTTAGATGCAACCCCAATCGTCCCCTGAGCCCATTTCCATTAAAATCTACCCAAGATCTGGCCGAAATAGGTTCGATTTCGGCCAGATCTCACCGACGCCGGTGTGGGTATTCCAGGCCAGATCTCATCCACGCCGGCGCCGAAAAACCTCCCCATCATCCAGGAATTACTCCCCTGTTCCTCCCGACCAAAACCCACCTCATCCCACCCCCGTTAGCCTCGCCAATCGTCGAAAAAATCCCATTGTTGCCGCTGCCAGGTTTGTTTGATTTTCGGTCGATTTACTCACCAGAAATCAACGCAATCACCACCATTGCATTCATCGGAGCTTGGTCTTCAAAAGCCCTAACCTTCCGGTCGTTTATTGTTCGCCGATCATCCTCCCAAATCTTAGGGTTTTGGGGTGAATCGAAAAAGTTAAACCCGGCCCGTTGAAGCTGTCGGGTCCCGATTTAACCGTTTCAACCGGCCGGTCCGGGCCGAGTTTTAAAACAATGGTTTTGGTCATATAAAAATTCCTTTTGAAATGCTGTTATTAGCCAATCCGGAAAGCCCTTTCATTCAGTTATTGTATCTTTGACCTTAATAGTTTCCTATCTCAAATTCAATCTAAGCAGTTGATAAACGGTTGTTCAATCAAATCCTAGACATAAAGAACCTTGTGTTATCCGAAGAAAGTCCCGTCTGCCACGTGGTGGCCACGCCGTATCCCGGTCGAGGCCACATCAACCCCATCATCAATCTCTGCAACCTGTTAGTTTCCAGAACCAACAACGTTGTTGTAACTTTTGTACTCACCGAAGAGTGGCTCAGCTTCCTCAGCTCCGAGAATTTTCCAGAAAAAATTTGCTTGGTTTCAATACCAAATGTGATCCCATCTGAACGAGGTCGAGCTGCTGACATGAACGGATTCATAGAAGCTGTTATGACTAAAATGGAGAATCCTTTTGAATTTCTTCTGGATCAGCTTGAGCTGCCGGCTACTCTTATTATTGTCGATAGTTTATTGTATTGGGCCGTTTGTGTTGGGAATCGGAGGAATATTCCTGTGGCTTCGTTTTGGCCTATGTCAGCTATGATGTTTTCGATATTTCAATATTTCGAACTTTTAGTTCAAAACGGACACCACCCAACCCAGTTGGCTTATTAGGTGAGAAGTTAAGAAAATTGTTCTTCTTCTGATTTAGAGATTGTGTTTTTTAAGAGTACTTCTGCTCAACGTTTTCACTGAGTAGATAGCTTGAAGCTATTTAGGTTTAAAGTGGGGTTGGGATTATAAGATATTTTAATCATAGATCGAATTTAGTTGGTGAAAATATTCTGCAATAGCTTAAATTATACTGCATTACCGCATGTGTAGTAATAATCGTAGAATCCATCAATTTACTTTGTTTCTGATGGTATTTGGCCGGAGAACTCTAAGAAAGAAAAGGAGAAAAAATGCAGAAGGTGAACTACTATATTTCATTATACTGAACTTGCAATATATATACAATAAAGCTTACTGTTTTACCAACTACAACAACCATTCAGACTTTAAATTTCAAAAACAAAGTTGGTAACTTAATGCACACTTATCTTACACTGATTACACCTAAACATGACACAAAATTAACAACTCCAACACAACTCCAGCAGCTTCAGTTTCAGCAGAAAACAAGGGAATGCAACTGCTACTTGGCACCAAGAAACTAATTCAAAAACAAACTAACTTAACTAAATTTTCCAGCAAATTATCAATGCTTCAACAGTTTCTGTAAGTTTTTGGTAGATAAGGGTGAGGATCGTGTTGACTACATCCCATGAGTTTCTTCAACACATCTGATGGACTTTACCTCTCATCAGTGGCAACAACCCATGCAGAGTGCAGCAATTCTATAGGATTATTTCGTGGGTGTATAAAGCACAATATATCTCTTATTCACTTCAATATATGAGCTAGAACCCTGTGCCATTGATGCTTTAAGAGCGAAGTTTCTGTTACCCATCTACAATGTAGGCCCTGCTATACCTTGGTTCAAGCTTGGAGATAATTCCTCTATTACTCCTACCCACAACGAAATCAATTACATTGATTGGCTAAACAGCAACCTAACAGTTCAGTTCTTTATGTCTCTTTCGGAAGTTTTCTTCGGTTTCAGGCTCTCAAATGGAAGAAATTGCNTACATCTCATTAGGCAGCTTCCTCTCTGTTTCAAGTACGCAAATGGATGAAATTCTTGCTGGCTTGCAAAATAGCAATGTTAATTTCGTGTGGGTGGCTCGTGGAGAAGCTTCTCGTTTGAAAGAAATTTGTGGAGATAAAGGGTTGGTACTGCCTTGGTGTGACCAATTAAGGGTGTTGTGCCATTCTTCTGTAGGTGGTTTCTGGACACATTGCGGATGGAATTCCACTCTAGAAGCTGTTTTTGCTGGGGTTCCAATGCTTACTTTTCCCCTATTTTTGGATCAAGATCCTAATAGTAACCAAATTGTGGAAGATTGGAAAATTGGGTGGGAGGCGAAGAGAGAGATTGGAACTCAAAAAATTTTAACAAGAGAAGAAATTGCTGAAGTTATAAAAAGGTTTATGGATTTGAATAGCGATGAGGGTATAGAAGTAAGAAGAAAAGTAAGACAACTTAGAGATATTTGTCAAGGAGCTACCACAGAAAGCGGATCATCTGTAATCAACCTTACTGCATTCATTCAAGACATTTCACAAGGACATAACCATTGATCATATTATGTATTTCATCTCATTAATCACCTCTTAGAAAAACCATCAGCCAGGGACCATACTTCTGTGGCTAAAATAATTTGTTCTAAAGTTTTTCTGTCGAATACAGTTGTCACTAAGCATTTGCTAGATTCTGTTATCTAGGGTATCTGACTTTGATTTAGTTCTTAAAACTCACCTGCTTGTGTAAATTTTGAATCAGTTGAAAAAATATCTTGTCTTCTTCCTGGATTATTGGCAGTTCCATGAGTGCAATTTACTTAAAATCCTTGATTTCTGGTCAAAAAGGTGGTAAAAGGAATACTGGCCATACATTTGTAAGTCGGTTCTAAATACGATGCATATGACTTCATCACAAATTGACCCACAAAATATTATACAAGCATTTTCTTTTATTTCATCTTATCTGTAATTTTTCAAAACCAGAAGTGATCTGTTTTTATCTGAAAACGTTATCCTGAGCTCACTTTAGAAGATGATAAAGGACGCACCTCTTGTTCTTCCAAACTCTACCAAGATAAACAGCCCAACTGAGAGATGTACTCAACCGCCATCTGTCATGTGGTTGCGATGCCTTATCCAGGCAGAGGCCACATCAACCCTTTGATGAACCTCTGCAAATTGTTAGTTTCTAGAAAACAAGATATTATCATCACCTTTGTTGTCACAGAAGAGTGGCTAGGATTAATCGGCTCCAATCCTAGGCCTGATAACATACGCTTCAGAACAATTCCTAATGTCATCCCATCTGAGAGGGTTAGGGCACAAGAATTTCCTGGCTTCTATGAAGCTGTCATGACAAAGATGGAAGCTCCTTTTGAACAGCTTCTTGATCGGCTTGAACCACCTGTGACTGCCATCATTGCAGATCTTGAGTTAAGGTGGCCAATCAATCTGGGGACTAGAAGGAATATTCCAGTGGCTGCACTTTGGACAGCGTCAACATTATATTTCTCTTTGCTCTATCATTTTTATCAGTTCTCAAAAGAACATCTTGCAGTCTTGAACCTGCCAGGTAGGTAAGAGTAACTCGTCAGCATATTACATATCGTCTAGTTGGGGACTTTGAATTTACTGTTGAAATGCAAACTTTATATATATACATAAGAACTAGCAGAATTTACTGTTTCTGTGCTAAAAATTTTATTAAATGCAAAATAATGATTGAGATTGTGTCATTGTGTATGTTAGATCATGTGGACTACATCCCTGGAATTTCTTCATCAAATATAGCGGACCTTAAAACAGTGTTCCACAAAAATGACAATGGAGTCTTGCAGCTTCTCCTGGATTGCATTTNTTTAGGAGAGAAATGGGTGCCTGGGTCGAGAGTTTTTTTTATATAAGGAAGCTATTTTTGATCATGGAACTAGCTGTCATACAATAATATATGATTGTTCAGAGTAACCTAGGAAAATGGAGTCAAACAGTCAACACCTCGTTTACAGGAAAGCTTATATAATAATAATTTTTCTAGAAACATTCCAAATAAAAAATTGACCAAATCTTTTACTCTTGTTCTCTGCCAATGTCCTCCATTCTTATCCACTTGATCTCTGTTCTCCAGTCCACCAGGCTGGATAAAGCTAGCCACTGTCACAAACGTAGTCAACAAGAGCAATAACACCCTTACCTTAAGTCACCATCCAAAACCCGTATCATTCAAATCCCAAAAATCTCAAATCTAACTCTGTAAATTATGATGAAAAAGTTTGGGATTGAAAATGGATAAAGTCTAGAGATTTTGAGACATCAGACTCATGGTTAGCTCTCTCGACAATCAAGAACTATTATTATAATATTTGAAGGAATCATATTCCAAGGATTAAAAGAATCAATTTTTGGACTTGTTCTAACGGAAAATGTGGAAAGGCATTTAAATATAATTAATTCAGCCCCCCTGATCTTGGATTCCATAGTAAGATGCTCTGCTTCGTTGAGTATAAATGCTGTAAATACAATCAGTAAATTGCTTGGAAGACTTTTACTGCCACATCTTTCATGTTTTGGTTCACCCATCCCATTCCACAGCCTAGGTGATTATGTGTTTGGCTGTTGAAATTTTTATTTTGGAAAAGGGTAAAAAGGATAGAACCCGTTTGGTTGCTGAGAAAATCTGAAAAAGAATTTGCGAAAGTTGATGAAGAGAAGGGAGAGATCAATGACAGTTTCTCTAAATATTTTAAACAATACACAATATTTTTGGGACGTTTTGTTGGAATGATTTTGATTAATCAGTTATCAAGTAATATAAGATTCATATAATTTTCTAATACTACTAGTAATTACTGGTAGCAATATTAAAAATAATCATCTTCATTTTCTAAAGTATTATAAGATTACTAACATAATCTTATTTTTGTTACAATTTTATTCCCTATTAATAAAAAATTTGGACAATAATATCTTTGTTTTAAAATCAATTTACATTACTCTACCTTTACAATTTTACCCTTATTTAATTAAGTTTTTGGACAATAATACTCATATATTTGAAACAAATTACAGATTACCACTGTCACCCAACCACCACCGTCGACAGCAGGCCAACCACCACGGACCGCAGTTGGAAAGCGTCGGAGTTGCTAAAAATGACCGAGAGTCGGTGGAAGGTTCTGATATAGCCATTTCTGGCCATATTGATGGCCATTAACAGTCAGATCCTTGGCCATTATAGGTCAGATCTGGGCATTAACGGCCATGGATCTGGCTGTTAATAGCCATATCTATTCCGGCCAGAATAGATTCAATATCAGTTAAACTATATAGTTAAGGAAGAATCTCAATATCATCTGATAAATCTCATATTCAAAATACCTTGTCCTTCATCACTCCATTCAAAGTGTATAAAAGGCCAGCAAGAACACTCGCTGCCAAGTCATCTATATCTTTGGATCATTTTCATCATAAATGTCTCTCCCATAAGTAGATCCGGACCTACTACAAGGTATACTTATGGAATTGTAGTCACTTGCAATCCAATTGCATACATTTCCGTCTTGAGTCCATTGATTCACTTACTTGTATCAACTATTCGTCGAGTATCAGTAAATGCAGTATCAGCAATTGGATTGTGACAAGCAGCAAAAATGCTACACTTTTGTGAACTTCTCTTTCTGATGATAGAAATCTCATCCAAAGGACATCAACCAGGAGAACTGCTCCTCCAGTCGCTCCACCTTGGTGCACAAATCTCGATCCATGATTAACTGCATGTCACACAAAAGACAAGGATGAGACTGAGCCAGAGCCTGAGCCGGAACTTGATTATGTTCATGGTCATGGATGCTTTAATGCTTTAATAATATTCAAAACTTCCAGCCTCTTTGTGCTTAAATCATCAAAGATGTCATGATAAACTTAAATGAGTTGAGCTAATTTATTAATGGCCGGCCCTTTGATCAAGAACCAACAACCTGTTAATAATCTGCGACCTAGCCTTGTGCGTGATCTGCGAAACCATACCTTAAACTCCTCACGTCAATGTATCGTTGCTATTAATTCATGGTCGAAGAGAAGTTAGAATATTAGAAACAACACATGGTTGAAGAGATCACAATGTAATGACTGGATCCAGATCACACATTCTCTTCTGGAGGACAATGAAGAAATCCGACAGGTGTGTATAAAATATTCAGTAAACATTCATTTACGTTAAGATTAAGTATGTAGTATACACATAAATGAGATAAAAGAGTTTCAGAAAATGAAAACCTTATCTTTATCAATTACGATAANGAGGTTTTACTTACTGAGCATTATTTTGTGCTCACCCCGTTATTTTCCTTTGTGGATGCAGGATCTAGGTGATGATGCAGTCGGAGGGGTGTCGGCAAGCGAAGAGGAATAACTACACTGTTTCCCCTGTTTTGTCTTTTAAAACAAATTTTTGTAAACAGTACTCTTTGTGTATAAAAGACATATGAATTATAATAAAAAGAAATTTTTGGGGCCCAATTTTACATTGTTATTATGCATGCATCGTACTAGTTTTCAGTAGTTGTTACAAAGCTCACCAAAACCTTTTCCACCACTCTTCTATCCATCAACTCCACTCCCATTAGCCTTATTTTTTTGACAACACTCATTAATCTATCAACATAATCCTTGACTTTTTATGATTCCTGTATCCTTTGCATCTCAAATTCTCTCCTAAGATTAAGCACCTGCATGTTCCTTGTTGTGGTGCTGCCCATATACTCCTCTCTCAACTTATCCCATGCTTCCTTTGGGGTCTCATATGCCATGATCCTTGTGAATACAAGGTCAGTCACAGCTACATGAATGTGAGAGAGAGCTCTCGGTGCTTTGTTGGTTTCTTCTTCATGCAATCTTATTTGATTCAAGGTGGGATTCTGTCCTAAAGGAGGTGGCTGCATGTTTTCTTCCACATACTGCCACAGTCCTTGTCCCCAGAGAAAAGCCTTCATTTTGACAGTCCAAATGTGGTAGTGTTCCCTATTGAACACTGGTGGTACCATCAAAGCAGATGGGGTTGCCATGTCTCTGTTTTGTGTCTACCACAGAGAAGACAGATGGAAGATGCAAGCTAGATTTTTTTACTGAAAATGGAGTGTTCTTGAGTTGTCATTGATGAATGGTTGTAGTAGGTTTTTTAGATTTTTGTTATAGGCTCTGATACCATTTGTTGGTTCTTAGCCCAAGAATGCAAAGGAAAGATAAAAGAGAGCTCTAAAAACTGAATGCAAAAGTCAATGATTTTCATTGAAAAGTGTTGGAGTAGGTGCCCTAGAGCCAATCAATTATTGTAGAATTGACTCTTTGTAATAATGTTCATTCATCAATAAAAGGCATTTTATTCTATATCACGTAAATCATTATTATTGAAATATGTATTGATATATGTCCTTAGAATGGTAGAACCGTGACGAGGGTATCAAGTGTTTCAAATCTTGATAGTGAGAACCCTATGAGCACATATGGTGGCCATTCTAGAAACGTCCGTAGCCCTAGTATTATTCTGAAGTAAGGGCACAGATAATACGGTAAGGCTATCATAGTGTTGAACGACCCTGTCGAAAGGCAGTGACTGATCTCACTTGTCAAGGTTGTTTGGTGACAACCTNGCGAACAGATTGCAACTACAATGAATTACAACTGCATTATAACACACCATGAAAATTACATTGGGGAGGTTTTATGCATTCACCTTGGCCCTGACAATGTCGATGGCAGCATTGGTGTAGCAACATCAGCTGCACCATTCTTTGGCCCTGGAATCACACTTGCTCTAGCCGTAGCAGGAACTGAAAAGTCATATTCTAAATTTGCTTCAACATCTACCGCACCTTCCAACAACTTTACCACCACTGACATAGAAGGCCTCTTAGAAAATTCGCTTTGCAAACACCATGCAGCAACCTTCATCATTTCCAACACTTCTGCTCCATTTGAAATCATATCCTCACTTTTCTTATCAATCATATCCAAAAGCTGATCCTCTTCTGCCTTTCTCTTAAGTACACTTAATAAATGCATATCCTCCTCTGGTTGAGATCGATCCAAGTTCTTTCTACCACATAAGATTTCTAAGACCACAACCCCAAAGCTATAAACATCTACTTTCTCAGTGATAACTGAGCTGAGCCATTCAGGAGCCAAATAACCTGGTGTTCCTTTCATTCTTGTTACAACGTGACTTTGGTCCCTGTCAATTAGCTTTGAGAGACCAAAATCGGAAACTTTTGCATGAAAATTTTCATCCAGAAGAATGTTTTGAGGTTTGATATCTAAGTGAAATATTTTTTGCCTACACCCTTCATGAAGATACGCCAATCCCTTGGCTATGTCTAGAATGATCATTCTTCTGGTTCGCCAGTCAAGAGCAGAGCGTTGGTTTATATGGAAGATCCATTTGTCTAATGAACCATTACACATAGCTTCATAAACCAGAAGCCTATGAGACCTGTTGGTGGAATATCCAATTAATCTTACCAAGTTGACATGGTGGATACTACCAATGGTTTTAACCTCGGATAAAAATGACTCTTTGATTTGGCTCAGGCCCTCAAGACACTTCACTGCAACCATGGTGCCATCGTTAAGAGTCCCTTCGAATACAGATCCAAATCCTCCTTGACCGAGTTTCTTGCTGAAATTATCAGTCGTTGTTATCAAGTCTTCATAGGAGTATCGCTTGGGCATCCCTGGTACCTCCTTTAAGTATTCTTCCTCTAAGTCATCACCATCTTTTTTCTTCGCTGAAAAAGCAATGTAGATGATGCCAATGATAAGAAGAAGACCAGAGAATACGCCTAGGCTCCATCCTAATATGGTTACTCGCTTCCCTTTTTTCCCTTCGATATCCATCAATACATTTGAGTCATTCTGAACTTTTAAAAAGAAGCGGAAGGTGTCTGCTTCCTTACCTGGCTCAACATTTTTGAGTGAAAAAATTTGTGATTCCAAATAACAAGTCCCGACTGAATCAAGCATCGCAGCTTTGCAAGAACAGTTTTTTAAACAATCTAGTTTGCAACTCTCGACATCTGTATTTTCAGTGTGAACCAGCCCTTTCAAATGACTGACATTCTTCAGCTCCACCATTTTTTGATATTTAAATTTGTCACAGGACAAGGAATTAACTTCAGAACAGCCACGATTGGGATGTCTGTCATCAATCGGCCTAAAATAGCTTAATTTTGTATCATCTGGTTGGGGACAAGTGCATGCGGGATCGTCCTCACCCGATTTCGAGCAAAGTCCATATCTTCCGCAAACCAAAGGATAATCACAACTATCCATTATAAAAATATCAGCAACACTTCGCCAATTGTCCTCTACTAAATCATAAGCTCTAAAATGCCCGTCATAATCCAACGTGACATGTTGCAATGGAGTTGTGTTGGGAAGTGAAATAATACGAACCGGCTCTCCAGAGAGATAACTGAACAGAACTAAGCTCCCATTCAAAAGAATGACATAGGGTTGCATGTCATAGAGTGCCTCGCTTTCAATTGCCGTATAAGGGTAAACTGATTCCATAAAAGCAGAGAGACCGATAATCGTAAAAAAAAGCGAATACAAACCTCCTTCGGAGTAGTTAGTTTGTGAAGTACTTGCTGTTAGCTTTTGGCTGGAATTAGAATATAACTTCTGTCCAATAAGTAAAGTGTCAGTTGGATGATCAAAAGATTGCCAAACAATGGAGTTGTTTGTGTCAAAGAGCACAAGATTCCCTGATTCTGTCAACTTTAACCCAGCGACTGATCTGCCCTTTGTATTAGTAGACCAAACCAAAGTACCATCAAAATCCTGTAACATCAAATCTCCATCTCGGCTTAGCAGCAAAGTTGCTTTGTTTCTAACCGGCTTGTTTCGGTTGGAAGACCAGACTAATTTTGGAGGAGTGCTCTCCTCATTCAAGGCAAAAATACCAAAAAGATAAGTGTTACAGTCAGGGTCAGAGGAGGATCTAAAGCCGCAAGCAAACGACCATTTTCCAGAGAGACTTGTATTAACCATGGAGTGAAACAGTAACATAATAGAAGGATTACATCCACTCGCATCAATTGGCCACGAAATGTTAGTGTTCTTAAGCATTTGAACATATTGACCTTGGATGGAATTTAAAAAAAAACAAAATGGGAAAAGAAACATAGCTGATATCCATAATATGCTAAAAATCAGACCCATTGGTAGTGCCAAATTAAGGCTACGAAGCTGAGATTAAACTGCCGATGGATCGGTAAACTAAACCGTGTTTGATGTTGTGATCCTTTAAGAAACAAACATCTAACAACCTCACAAGTCGGTCATTAATCCCTGAAAGCTTCATTCCAGTCAAGTCAACACTTGAGCTTTATTCTCCAATCCCCACCGTGAAATGGTACCACATCCACGTCAATTATTGTCTTCGTTATTTGCGCGTAAGCTGAACATATGCCTAAAATTTTCATAAACTGAAGTTTAGATGCTGAATTTGTGTTTATTGCAAAAATCAGCCTCAATGTTTTAAAAAAATTTCCGGCTCTAATTGGCTTTTCCTTTCAAGAGCGGATTTTTCGATCGAAATAGAATCATGATTCACATTTGTTAATCAATTCTTTTTTATTCATATTGGAAGTTAAAATCTTTATTTTTTTAGCTCTAATTTTTTAAACTTAGGTGCCTTTTGTTTATGCAACATATAAGTTTCTATTAAATTTATAACTGAATAGAAACTTTTTTTTTTTTTAATTTTTTTTTCCCTGAAATTGTTTATGGAATCCTGAACGGTACGAACTAAGAAAAATCAAAGCTTATATGTTGTCCCCTTCTACTTGACTTGGAGTCTACTCTGTTCAGGGGACCTACAAAGTTTACTAGTATTTGAAGATTCTTGCAAATTATTTATGACTTTTCCGTATTCATTTGCTCATTCCTTGATGTTTCCAGCTTTAATTAATTTTTCCATTCTCCCTAGACGTAAGTTAGAAAAATCAAAAGCTTCACTTATTTGTCTCTGCTATAGACTAAGTGGTCACCGGGTCCCATATCTTTGAAATCTCGCTGCATAAAATAAAGAGCAGGGAAATTTCCAGCAACTTCAAGAGAAAAAAAGAAAATACCTTTCCCCTATTACAAGCTTAATAGCCACGCTTACACCCATCATTTCCTTTTACCCCTTACCCCTGGCATCAGCCACTACACCCAACTCTATCTCATAACTAGGGATGGTAATTTTCCTGGCAGGGACTGGTATCGAAATTTTCAGGCACAGGGAGAGGATGGGGGAGGAAATCCATCCCCAAATTACTTTGGCAGAAAGAACAAGCCAACCGGCGCGCACCACAAAGCATACTAATCAACCTAACCCAAGGTCCAATTACAAGCTTTTTAACTACAACAACTTAAATATATGTTATTGGAGTTGGAATTACCACGGTTGTTGGCATTAGACTTGTCCTCTAACGAATCCTTGTTAAAAGAATTAGATTGTACTCATTTTAATTACCAAGCTTGAAGAGTCTGGTATTGTTATTTATTGTCACTACCTTCTTATGTCAAGATTAGATAATTTGTGTGCTTGCTGCCTTCCTTGGATGTGGTAGCCTTTTCCATTCTCCCTAGATGCTCTTTACTGAAAATCAAAAGCTTAACTTATTTTTCTGTATTATAGACTAAGAGGTCACAGGTCAATATCTTTGAAATCTTGCAGCATAAAATAAAGAGCAAGGAATTTTCCAACAAAAAAATAATAATAATAATAATGCTAAACTTTTTATACTCACTCTTCCATTCATTTTTTATTACATCACTTTGTACAAAAGTTTTTGGAAGATTTATTTGTATCTCTAGCGTTACTAGGAGAAAAAACAAAACAAAAAAAAAAAAAAAAACCCATCCTACCCCTATTACAAGCTTAGTAGCCTAAGCTTACACCCATCATTTCCTTTAACCCCTCACCTGTCACCCCACCCTAGCATCAGCTGCTACACCCAACTCTATCTCATAACTAGGGATGGTAATTTTCCCCACAAGGACTGGTATTCACACACTCCTGCCCCATTCGGAAAGGGGATTTTAGCCAAATTTTTAGGCACTGGGAGAGGATAGGGAGGAAAACCATCCCTAAATTACTTTGGGGTTAGGGACGAGGATTGTTATGCCTTCCCTTGTTTCGTCCCTGATCCTTGAAATAATTAATTATAAAAAGTATTTTAATTTTGTATTGAAAATGTATAAGAAGTTCTATTACCACATAACAAGTTAAGAAAAAACAAAATTAAGAGTTTTAATACAATAGCAATTTTGATTCCAACATTATGTTAATAGAAATTATTTAGTTATGGTTTAGTAAAAGAATAAATTCTCATAAACCTTTTGTTTTTTTAATTAAAAAAACACTATCAATTATATTCTTAAGCTGAATAATTCAATACAAAAAAATTACTAGTATTAATATTGAATAAAATACACTTTCAAATTAGTCATTGTAAAATATTAAATGAAAATAAAATCATTTTTTTTAATATTCGAGGATCCCCGCCCTTTTCCACTTTGGTAGAAGGGACCAGCCGATCAGTGCGCACCACAAAGCAGACCAGTTGACCCAGCCCAAGGTCCAACTACAAGCTTTTTAACTACAACTTAAATATAAGTTATTGGAGTTGGAATTACTACGATTGTTGGCATTATACTTGTCCTCCAATGAATCCTTGTTAAGAGAATTAGATTGTACTCATTCTAATTGGCAAGCTTGAAGAGCCTAGTATTGTTATTTATTGTCACTACCTCCCCGTGTTAGGATTAGCTAATTTGCGCGCCTGCTGCCTTCCTTGGATGTGGTAGTCGTTTCTTAAGCTCCCTCTCCGAAATCGAACCTTAATTCTCAGTCACCCGTCACCATCATATTAGGCCTTTATCCTACCATCAAAAGTGGATCAAGCAGAAATTTGAATGGTGCGTCATCGGTAAAATGATCGTGCAATCTGTTGAGTTATCATGAATCATCAAAGTACGAGCAAAGCCCACCTCAACCTATTATTTAATAAATGCATCCCTTCCAAAAGTTGGGGTTTGATGCACATATTAGCTTGAGTATTACTATGGTTATCCAAGTAAAAGATAAGATCAGACAAACTATAACTAATTTATAGTTATTCGCAGTTTCACAGTCTGAATTAGTTCATACTTACACATGCATGGCTTAATCTTTAAGACAAGCACATGACTACTAGCAAGATCAACCAGGTACCGTAGTAATCCTTGACGGCACCAACGACCACATGAGCCCCATTGAGCACGTGGGCTATGACAAGATCAAGACAGTCGCGGCAGTTGTTGTGTTAAGGGACAAATGCATAGCTTGAGCGAGTAAAGGCTGAGATCCCATACCCATGCATGACATTTTGCATCCAAGAGAGTAGGCAACAACTTTGTAGGCCTTAGCATCTCCACAACAAGGCAAGGCATGCGAGGAACACGTAGCGTGCCTAACGTCCACCCCACGCCCATAAAGGGCACTGGACGAAGAGGGGAAACAATACAATTGAGTTTCTTTTGGTACGTAAGCAACATAGGATACCAAGAGCACCCACAAGGCAGTAATTGCACTTAGGGAAAGACTGATGACGATAGGTAATCAACAATTTGACGCATAAGTAAGAACCATGCCAACCCACACCATCAAAGCACCACTCACACACCTGTTGTGTTCACTTGGAAGCATCCATGCCAAACGAATCGCACCGCAATGGCAATACCATCAAGCATGCAAAAGCATCGAGCAAAGCTACCCAACACCACAGGATGTGAAGAGAACATTAAAACCAAGGGACGACTTGCCTAAGCTATGCGGCATCGTACCATGCTCGAGATCACCATTTGCGTCCCTTGCACTATGATACAGGCTAGGAAACCAGGGCATTGAGCACAAAAGAAACTCAAGCTCACCCAAGCATAGGGTCTATTTCAGGGATGGGAATGGGACTTATGATCCCTAGCCCTATCCGCCCAAATTGTCATCCCTACTCACAACCAGTGGCCAACAATATTTTTTTTAATTATTTATATAGAAAAATATCCATTTAGATCTTATAAATTTAGTTTTTCTCATCTAGCCACCCTTAGTTTTTTAATATCCTATAATAAATTTTAAGAGTCCACCCTTGCTCCCAACCAAAAGGCCACAAACAACTCTAGCCTCCCCTTTACTCGCACTCAATCTTTTCACGTTTGACACTCACTTGGGGGTCTCTTTTTTATAGTGTTAATCAATTCGATTTCACTTGTGATGGTTGGTTTGATGATTTTTTTGATTTCTTAGCATTATTGGTTGTTTGAGGAAGGACCTAGGGAGACATGGAAGTGTTTTATGAATGAGGGTGAGATGGATAGGATAGATTGGCCCTAAGGAAAGGGCTCTTATGCAAGGTGGTTGTGGTGGAGTTATGCTTGGGGGAGGGAGGTGAACTTTGCCCACAAGTACCATGGGTGGGCTGGTGGGGAGAGGAGGCGATGGGTGGATGAAAAAAGTAGAAAGGGATAAAAGGAAAATATGTGAAAAAATATAAAGGGAAAATAAAGTGAAAGGAACCATAATTTTTAAATTTTGTATAAAAGATAAAAGATTAAGTCAAAACTCAAGTTAAAAAGGTAATTTCAGACTTTTTTTTACCTAGTTAGTAAAAACGGATACTGCAAAAAAAATGGTACGAGAATTTTACCGGTATGATAAAGCAAATGGTGAAAAATACGTTTGTAAAAATTCGGTCATAAATTCGGATACAGAAAAAATACGATACGGTTATATACGGGTTTACAAAGTAAAGTGTCAATTGGATGATCAAAAGATTGCCAAACAGTGGAGTTGTTTGTGTCAAAGAGCACAACATTCCTTGATTCTGTCAAGTTTAACCCAACAACAGTTTTACCTTTTGTATTGGTAGACCAAACCAAAGTAGCATCAAAGTCTTGTAACCACGTATGTAGCCTCATAGTGGCTTGTGGGTTCAATTGAACCCACTGAACTTTTCAAAAATTTCAAAAAGTATTAATAGTTTATAGGTTTTATAACTTTAACCCCATTTAACTTCATGTTGACCCCATAAAATAAATTATTAATTAATACTTTTTAAACTTTTCTCTTTTCTTTATTTCCTTTCTTTTGCTCTCATATTATATTTTTCCTTTGGTTGGATACTCAAGTAAGATGATATTAATTTTATTTTTATTTTTTTACTTAAAATTAATTCTTTTTTTTTAACTTTCTTAATTGATGAAAGATCATGAGTTGTGAGTTTTTATTGAGTTTAATAAATAAGTTTGAAATAATTCCTAGATTTTGATGTGAGTTTTTATTTAATCTTGTTTGTGTTGAGGTATGAGTTAATTAATTGCTATTTTAAGTTGGGTTTGATAAGTTGTGGTTAGTTATTGAGTTAATTTTATGGTTTAAAGAATTGATGAAACCCTAAGTTGTAGAGATTTGAGGGTTTGGTTTAATTTCGATATATTAGTTAGTTGTTAGATATTTAGAGTTAGATTTGATGAGTTTTCATGGGTTTATGAGTTGAATTTTGATAAATTTGTGTTGTTTTTACTTTTTAATTGTAATTGCAAATAAATTATATTTCTGATAATAAAAATTCTTTTATTTTTTTTGTTATGGACAAGTTTTTTATCAAAAGAAAATTTTCTAATGAGGAACTATCAATTGAACAAAACATAAGGCATTACGATAGTGTTCACAATGAGCTTATGGAATCTAATTCAAGACAAACATATGTAAAACTTAAGTAGTTTTCCTACAGATCTTGGATCGAGGATTAAAATTCTAGAATATCATCCTGATGACAAAGACAAAGTGAGAAAGGCATAGTTGCAAAAGAGACCTTGCGAACCACACAATCATAATTTTAAAAAGCGAGCAATTGAGAATTTAATGCGTCGTTTTTATCTCATTTGGTTTAGAGAATATGCAAATTGGTTGGAGTATAGTGTAGAAAATGAGGGTGTTTTTGTTTGTGTTGTCATCTTTTTAGACATGAAATTAGCATTGATATTACATGTTGCAAATGCAAGTGTTGAAAGAGTATTTTTTGCGATGAAAATTGTGAAAAATCGACTACGGAATCGAATGGGAGATTAATTGTTAAATGATTGTCTTATTACATATATTGAGAGAGAGAGATTTGATGGGACTGTAATGAAGCAATTTTATAACGTTTTTAGAATATGAAAAATCATTAAGGACAATTGTAGAATTGATAATTTGGTATATATAACTTTTCAAAATACATTTTTTATGTTTATAACTTCAATATATATTTTATTGTAAATTTATCAACTTTGATATTTTGAATCCACTTACTCAGAATTCTAGCTACGTCCCTTGCAATGGCATATCTCCATCTCTGGTTAGCAACAAAGTCACATTTCTTCCAACGAAGTTGTTTTGGTTGGAAGAACAGACTAACCTTGGAGCCGTTCTCATCTCATCCACAGCAAAAATACCAAAAGCATAAGTTGTACCAGAGTTACAATCAGGCTAAGAGAAGCACTGGAAACCACATTCAAATGACCCATTTCCAGAGACTTTTGCACCAAAACGGAGCTATATACCACTATGGCATAAGGATCAGTGTCACCAATTGTCCATGAAATGTTAGTGTTATTAACCATTTGAACATATTGACCCTGGATGGAATATAAAAAAAATGGGAAAAGATACGTTGCTGATATCCATAATATGCTCCAAATTACACCCATTGCTATTGCCAAATTAAGGCTTCGAAGCAGAGATCTAACTGCTATGGATTGGTAAAATGAAGGGTGCTTGGGGTTCATTTGTTTAATTATATGGAATAGTATTTTTGAAATATTATTGTTAGATAGAGTTGGATGATTATTACGAAGTATGATTTGAAAATTAAAATTAGTTGAATAATTTATGATAGAATTTTGAGAATAGAAAAATAAATATGCATTTTGATTTGAAATAAAAATAAGATAGGGAAGCAAATTTAAATAGTACAAAAAAAAAAAAAAAAACAATCAAACATCTAACAGTCAAGTCAAGTCAACAAAATGCTTCATTCAGTATTCACGAATTCCCACTGAGAAATAGAACCACGCCCACTTCAAATTTTTTCTTCGTTATTTGTGGGTTTTATATGAGAAAAAGGATATCTTATTTTATTTTAAAGCTAAATCAAAATTAATTTTTATGATCATCTTAATTTACATATCAATTATAAGGTATTTGGACATATTATACGGCAGAAAATCGAAGAAAAAGCATCACTTTTATGTTTTAATTGTACTACGACTCTTAGTGTTTATATATAATGATTCTTTCTTTTAATCTTATACTCTCATAATTTATTGAATTGACTTACTTATTTACTGACTCGTTAATATTATCTAAATTTGTTTAAGTATATTTGAAATCAATGGTTTAAGGTTTAATTACCAGCATCGAATTAAATATTTTCTTCGGGATCATCAAGGGGATGTCAAGTTTGCTTTTGCTTCCAATATTTTACAAAAGTTTTTCTGCTGAATTGCTTGCAAATAGAGAAGGTTTCTGCATTGCTCGAAGTCATCTCATGAATCAGAGTACAGAACATTTGTCAAAATACGTTCTTTCTTTCCTGAATCCTGAGCATAAAATTAAATAAAAAAGAAGACACTATTTACGTGCGAATTTTAGTTAAAATTGACTTGATTAAATAATCTTGTCTTCTAACTTCAAGCTCTATTCTGAGCCTAATCAGATTTGAGGATTAAGCATCTTCAGTATGGTAAACTAAACAATAAATAAGAAAGTGAAATTATCTATTCCTCTCAGGTGATAAATATAATAATCTTTTGATTTGATGTTGTGATAATTGGTATCATAATTTTAATTAATTTGAGTAATTCCGGACAAATCAACCCTCAATATTTTTTGTGTGTCATTTAGTTTTCAAGAAAAGAATCGTCAAGTGGGCAAATAAGAACTGTTGAGTATGCGTCCGGCAATGCCAGTACTAAGTTTATAAACTCAAAGACAACCTTGTTTCTCAGCATTTTTCGAAAATGCTAAAATTTGCACACAACCTAAACTCATCTTATTATGCTATTTACAGTAACAAAAGCTGGAGATTGATAAGCACAAAGCTCCATCCGAGCAAACCAAGAACTCTTCTTTGGAATTTCATGCAAACTCAACGTTTGGAATTTCATGGCCTAGATTTCATCAGATTTTTTCCTATATAAATGCTCGCCAAACTAGGAGAAAGAAGTATACCTAAAATTTCTTATATAGCTGCTAGGGAGTAAAGATGTCAAAGGGAGAGGTGGTTGTTTTGGATTTCTGGGTTAGTCCATTCTGCATGAGAGTGAAAATAGCATTGGGGGAGAAAGGAGTGGAGTATGAAGGTAGAGAAGAGGATTTGTTTGGGGGAAAGAGTGAACTGTTGCTCAAATCAAACCCCATTTACCAGAAGGTGCCAGTGTTGTTACACAATGGAAAACCCTTGTGTGAGTCCACTACCATTGTTTCCTACATTGATGAGGTCTGGCCTTCACCACCCCTTCTCCCACCTTGCGCATATGGCCGAGCTCAAGCCCGTTTCTGGGCTGATTTTATCGACAAAAAGGTTGGTTTCTCCTTCTGTCATTTTAAACTCAACCATAATGGTTTTGTCTATAATTTATGTCTTAAAGTCAACATATATATAATTATATATGTTTTGGTCATGCAAACCAAAGGTGATCAGGATCGCTACCTTTACAATATGCAAAATCAAAAACCAATAACCAGTCGCTCACCTTAAGTATGCATGTTATAAACTTCAAGACTTCCTCACTTACGAATTTTCGGATGTGTATAATCTTTGGTTTGGTGGGTAGGCATTTGATGCAGTCGGCAAAATTTGGAGAAGCAAAGGCAAGGTAGCAGAGAGTGCAAAGAAGGAGTTCATAGAGATACTGAAGCAACTAGAGGGAGCCCTAGGGGAGAAGGATTACTTCGGTGGTGATTCTTTTGGATTTGTTGACGTTATTGCTATCCCTCTAACCAGCTGGTTCCATGCCGTTGAGAAATTTGGGGGGTTTAAGGTTGAGGATGAGTGCCCAAAATTCTCAGCTTGGATGAAAAAGTGCATGCAAAAAGAAAGTGTTGCTAAAATTATTCCAGATCCAGAAAAGGTTTATGAATTTGTCATCATGATGAGGAAAATGCAAGGGATTGAGTGAAGACTGAGTACGTGGGCTACACCTAAGTTTTTCCCTTCTTGTTCTTTCCCCCATATAGTTTGTGGTGTCTTTTTTTTATTCCTAAAGAAAAAAAAAAAAAATATTGTTGGAAGTGTAACAGTCAATCAATGTTTGTATATGAATAATTCAGAAGGGAAAAATCAAATAAAATTGTCATTGGTGTTTTCTAATCTTAATGTCCTGTAAATTGACACTTCATCTACCTTTTTAAAAAATATATATATATTTAAAACCTTCCCTACAATTTATCATCAAGTTCAATTGCTAACTTTATGACTTTTTGACCTTTTTCTTAGTCTTTTCTACATGCGAACGGTTCTAGATATCCTACATTTTTTTTCAAAACCAAACAACTTTTTGACATTTTTCTTAGTCTTTTCTAAGGGTGAATGGTTTCGGGTACCCTGCATTTTTTGAAAAAACCAAAACCGATCAGTTCCTATGATTTGAAACCAAAACTGACCGATTCCGATTTGGGTTCCTAGAAACCTAGAACTGGAACTTAAAACATAGGCTCTTGTTTCGGGTACTCGGATTAATTTTAATTACTCCCTACTTTTAAAAAAAAAAAAAAAAAAAGACAAATACACCCCCAAAAAAGCATAATACATCCCCAATAGTTTACAAAAATTACAATTCAATCCTAGTGTCCGATTCCAGTTCCACCACTACAGGAATCAGAACCAAACCCGAGAATTCCCAGTTCCAATTTTCAAGAAGGGTCCGATTCCGATTCCTACCCAGAACCAACCAGTGGATACCCGCCAATTCTAGTTCTACCATTTAACTATGCTCACCCCTAGTTCTTTTCTATACTCAAATAAAAAAATAAAAATTAATAGATAACGATAAAATAAAGAATTAAACCAAAATAAGTAATTAATCCACGAAGAGAAAGAAAAAGAAAGTGAGTAGCTAAGAAGAGCACCGTGAGCTTGAAGCAAAATTTTCTGTAAAAATTTATAAAACTCAGTCAAATATTTACATTGCCGAAGTAATCATAAAGTTACAACAACAATGAAAGACTCAAAATTTACTACCAAAAAAGAAGTGGGGAGGGAAAGTACCTAGACTGGATATGCTTTCCTGTTATAAAAGTATGTTAAGTGTCGAAAAAGAAAATGAGACACGCTATCATTAACTTCGCCTCCAAAATTTTGAACTAGCACATCCGGAAACCTATGCAGGCACCGAATCAGACTGCAGTTTCATCTGTACTTCATTAAAACAAGCTTGAATGTCCCTAAATTCTTCCATGTCTGAAAATTCCCCTGCCTGTGATTCCAATGAAATATCTTATAATCAAACTTTATGATTGAAGAAAAGATTAATAACAAAACAAAAGTCAATACATCAACTAAAATATTTCCACAGCTAACCAGTAAAGAGAGTACAATCATCAAACCAAGAAAAGATGGAAGCTTTACCTGTTTAAGTATGTTCTTGAGGTGCATCTCAGCTGTGAAGAGTTGACGACAGCTCCCTGTAGAAGAAGATATTTCCATATACAAATTACAAAGTTCCAAGGACGCATGTGCATACTGTTTAAACCGATCTCTGTCTTTCCACAAGTCAGATCCCTGAGAGAGAGTAACCACAGAAATCAATAATTATAATGCAGCTTATATCAGTCCCACCAATAGAATCTCCTCCAGAGCAATGGTACTTTGAGATGAGTTTTGTATTACATGAGGAAAAACATTAGAGGACAAATGTCAAACAGCAATAAGTACATAAATGTAGTCCCGCATCTGTCACCCCCTTATTGGAACGTGCTCAAGGCAAGACTTAACACTAAATTGAACATATAAAACAGATAAGACTAGCTCCATCATGAAAAAGGAGAAATTAGCAAGATCTGACTAACCTAAGCTAAATTGTTTCTGTGTCAGTAAGGATATGTGAACAACAAAAGTTATCAGGGGAAAAGCTAACCATGAGAGATGTTTGTGATGGTTTTCCAGTAAGAGAGGTGCGTTTGCAATTATTTTTCAAATGTATTGGACTTTTGTATCACTTCTTCAAAGCATAGGGACATCTATACATTTGCCTTAGTTTTATATTATTTAGAAATTTTATCAAAAATTTGTGTATTCAGATAAATTCATAATAAATTGTATTTTCTGTTCTAATAATAAATATTTTAAAGTAAGTGTCAAGTTCAAAACAAAACATAATGCTATGTCAAGTTCAAAACAAAGCATAATGCTATGTCATGTTCAAGGTATCGATCATGTTCTAACAACCCTAAGTTCCTCATACCAATGTCATAGATCACTCAGATATGCTCTAAAGTGAAAAGGACTATAATATAACTAAATCTACTTAACAAATCATTGTAAAAAAAGAAACACCACAATGTTTAAATTATTAGAGTAACATCATGAACGGATAATAATACAATTCTTTTATGCCCTATTTAAATGAAAATAGATTACATCCTTTTATTAATTCTCCACAATTAATGAAAACATGCACAGAAAGTGGACAATTTTGTCACACTTAATGATAAACAATTATATACAAGATTATGAGAGCAATGGAAATACCTGATATGATCTAACTTGCTTTAGAAGAGCTTCACAGCACATTGTGAGATCTCCTTTAATTTTGTGCCACCTTGCATATAAGCCCCACACATCTGCTCTGCTTTCACTTTTAACTATCTGTACNTTCTACATGCGAACGGTTCTAGATATCCTACATTTTTTTTCAAAACCAAACAACTTTTTGACATTTTTCTTAGTCTTTTCTAAGGGTGAATGGTTTCGGGTACCCTGCATTTTTTGAAAAAACCAAAACCGATCAGTTCCTATGATTTGAAACCAAAACTGACCGATTCCGATTTGGGTTCCTAGAAACCTAGAACTGGAACTTAAAACATAGGCTCTTGTTTCGGGTACTCGGATTAATTTTAATTACTCCCTACTTTTAAAAAAAAAAAAAAAAAAAGACAAATACACCCCCAAAAAAGCATAATACATCCCCAATAGTTTACAAAAATTACAATTCAATCCTAGTGTCCGATTCCAGTTCCACCACTACAGGAATCAGAACCAAACCCGAGAATTCCCAGTTCCAATTTTCAAGAAGGGTCCGATTCCGATTCCTACCCAGAACCAACCAGTGGATACCCGCCAATTCTAGTTCTACCATTTAACTATGCTCACCCCTAGTTCTTTTCTATACTCAAATAAAAAAATAAAAATTAATAGATAACGATAAAATAAAGAATTAAACCAAAATAAGTAATTAATCCACGAAGAGAAAGAAAAAGAAAGTGAGTAGCTAAGAAGAGCACCGTGAGCTTGAAGCAAAATTTTCTGTAAAAATTTATAAAACTCAGTCAAATATTTACATTGCCGAAGTAATCATAAAGTTACAACAACAATGAAAGACTCAAAATTTACTACCAAAAAAGAAGTGGGGAGGGAAAGTACCTAGACTGGATATGCTTTCCTGTTATAAAAGTATGTTAAGTGTCGAAAAAGAAAATGAGACACGCTATCATTAACTTCGCCTCCAAAATTTTGAACTAGCACATCCGGAAACCTATGCAGGCACCGAATCAGACTGCAGTTTCATCTGTACTTCATTAAAACAAGCTTGAATGTCCCTAAATTCTTCCATGTCTGAAAATTCCCCTGCCTGTGATTCCAATGAAATATCTTATAATCAAACTTTATGATTGAAGAAAAGATTAATAACAAAACAAAAGTCAATACATCAACTAAAATATTTCCACAGCTAACCAGTAAAGAGAGTACAATCATCAAACCAAGAAAAGATGGAAGCTTTACCTGTTTAAGTATGTTCTTGAGGTGCATCTCAGCTGTGAAGAGTTGACGACAGCTCCCTGTAGAAGAAGATATTTCCATATACAAATTACAAAGTTCCAAGGACGCATGTGCATACTGTTTAAACCGATCTCTGTCTTTCCACAAGTCAGATCCCTGAGAGAGAGTAACCACAGAAATCAATAATTATAATGCAGCTTATATCAGTCCCACCAATAGAATCTCCTCCAGAGCAATGGTACTTTGAGATGAGTTTTGTATTACATGAGGAAAAACATTAGAGGACAAATGTCAAACAGCAATAAGTACATAAATGTAGTCCCGCATCTGTCACCCCCTTATTGGAACGTGCTCAAGGCAAGACTTAACACTAAATTGAACATATAAAACAGATAAGACTAGCTCCATCATGAAAAAGGAGAAATTAGCAAGATCTGACTAACCTAAGCTAAATTGTTTCTGTGTCAGTAAGGATATGTGAACAACAAAAGTTATCAGGGGAAAAGCTAACCATGAGAGATGTTTGTGATGGTTTTCCAGTAAGAGAGGTGCGTTTGCAATTATTTTTCAAATGTATTGGACTTTTGTATCACTTCTTCAAAGCATAGGGACATCTATACATTTGCCTTAGTTTTATATTATTTAGAAATTTTATCAAAAATTTGTGTATTCAGATAAATTCATAATAAATTGTATTTTCTGTTCTAATAATAAATATTTTAAAGTAAGTGTCAAGTTCAAAACAAAACATAATGCTATGTCAAGTTCAAAACAAAGCATAATGCTATGTCATGTTCAAGGTATCGATCATGTTCTAACAACCCTAAGTTCCTCATACCAATGTCATAGATCACTCAGATATGCTCTAAAGTGAAAAGGACTATAATATAACTAAATCTACTTAACAAATCATTGTAAAAAAAGAAACACCACAATGTTTAAATTATTAGAGTAACATCATGAACGGATAATAATACAATTCTTTTATGCCCTATTTAAATGAAAATAGATTACATCCTTTTATTAATTCTCCACAATTAATGAAAACATGCACAGAAAGTGGACAATTTTGTCACACTTAATGATAAACAATTATATACAAGATTATGAGAGCAATGGAAATACCTGATATGATCTAACTTGCTTTAGAAGAGCTTCACAGCACATTGTGAGATCTCCTTTAATTTTGTGCCACCTTGCATATAAGCCCCACACATCTGCTCTGCTTTCACTTTTAACTATCTGTACAAAACAAAGAAACACTCAACATAGGCTACCAAAAGAGGGGCTAGTTTTACTTGCTACGTGCGCCTCGAGTCAATAATATTCATGCATTATGGGACCCTTTTTAGAAGGTAAAAGAGTCTCACGATTGTTTTAACATTTAGCACAAATTTTTCAACACGGCCAACTTCTTGCATTTACTAGAAGTAGTATCTCAAACAGTATGTCGTAGGGAGCAGAGATGGGTCATATGCCCAAACACCAAACTGTACTCAAGAAGACGTATTCAGGATTATAATATATATGTGCATAAGAAAAACTAGGGTCCGTTTGGCACACTTTTTTCCCCCTGTCCTAATCTACTATCCTATCCTAAAAACCCAAAAATACATCTATTTTAATATTCTTCAAAATTCAATCATATACTACTCAACTCAAAACATTAACAATTACCTTTCTCAATAAAAATTTTAAAATAAATAAAAACACCCCCACCCACCCAAGTCACTATCACCCGCTAGCAGCAACCGCCGCCGCCGCTGAATCTAGCCGGTAGTGCACTGATCTATCCGTTTTCAACTAAATCCACCATGGATCTGGCTAGAAACGGCCAGATCTACAACAAAAGATCTGGCTGTTGACGACAAACATATCTTGGCCGTCGTTGACAGCCAAATATCTTGGTCGTTGTTTGGTCATCAACGACCAGATCTATGGCCGTAGATCTGGTCATTTCCAACCCGATCCACCGTGAATCTGGTCGAAAAAGGTCAAATCGGCGCACAACCGACCAGATCCAACTGATCATGCGCCATTCTAGCAGATTCCGGCCACCTTCCGACGGTGGTGGCGAATTGCCGGCAATATGTGAATGGGTGGAGGTGTTATTGTCAATTTATAAATTTGTATTGTGGGGGGTGGCTAGTTAAATTAACAAACCTAGAGGGTTAAAATTAATCTAAATATTTTCAGAAAATACTATTCAGAAATGTACCAAAAACTTCTCAAAATCCTATCCTAATTCCAAAAATGCTAAATAGCATAGAATGTTATTCTAAATAACTAACCAAACAGAGTCTAATATAAGACAGTCTCACCAAATCATCATGTTGACGTAATGAGACCGTCTAATAAAAATTGACCACATAAATAGTAATTTTAAAGCCACCATGTGATTATTAGTAAATCATGGTGGTCTTTATTGCTAAAATGAAAACCACCACATATGTGGTTAACTAATCAGACTATTTCACCATGTCAACATTGTGATGTGGTGAAACTATCCTATATAAGTATTTCTCATATGTGCATATATATTAGATACGTGTATGTGTATGTGTATGTATTCTGTTTGTGACAGGTTGCAAGGGAGAGTAAGATTTCCTTTTGGTCGAGAGAAAAGACACAAAATATATCACGGAAATATTTACATACCTGCTGTAGAATTTTCCCGAGGAACTCCATCAGATGTTCAGCTTCCCGTGATCTTCCCTGGGTTGGTTCTTCAAATGATGATTCATTGACAAATTTTACAGTTGAATCTGAAGGACAAGCTTGATTGTTGCAATTATTATTATCGGCAGCTGCAGGAGACTTTAAATGTTTAATTGACGCTCTATCCTCCAAATATAGCATAATTCTCTCAAATAATTCAGCATCAATTCTTTTATTACTGGTCATATTCAGCACCATCTGTACAGCTTCTAGAGCCTGCACAAATAAATTGAATAAACAATAAAGCATAAAACATTGATAACTGAAGAAAAAGATTATTGTGAAGTATACTGATGTCATATTCACTAACATATCATATGATCTCGTACATTAATAGTATCCAAAAACATAGGGTGATAATGAAATATAAAAATTTCTCAATGTATCCACAATAAATTGCCCTTTCAAAAAATGACATGTCCACTCTATCATGAGACAAAGCCTCTGCAGTTCTCATTAGAATTTTCACAATAAACAAGCCAAGCCATCAAAGGGGGGCTAAGGAAAAGACCTAATGCTGGTCAAAAGTGCTAGGCTGATTTGCAGTGGTAAGCATTTGAACATTAACTGCATATCCAAGATTACCTGACCAAAATTGCCCACATCACAAGCAACATGGCTGTAGTTCTCCCATAACTGCCAGCTGTTCCGTCTGTTAACAAATCAAGTTTTTGGTTATTACACATCCCACTGTTTGCCACAACAGAGACCAATGATGTCTCAGCGTCAGTGTTTTGTGTTTGCAAGAGTCTGGGTGCATTGTGCGTGACAAAAAAGTAAAATTGCATTAATCAAAGGAAAAAGACAGAACTTGAACTTTAGGGCCTCCTTAAATGCAATGAAAGCTTCTTTGCTCTTCTTCTTAAGCATATGCCTGCAAGATATAAAAGACAATTTATATTTTTACTGTAATAACAATTATTTTTTATAAAATGTTTCATCAAACTAGAGGAAAAAAAAATTGTCTTAGTATGGGTGGCAATACTAAACATGTAAATATGCTGCACATTTAACTTCTTAGTGGGAACAGCATGATGACTAACACACAAGTTGAGTTGAAAATTTTACACAACGTGATATACCATAAATGAAAAGAAAAGATAAATATAACCCAATTAACAAATACTAAAAAGTAAAAGTTTCACCACTGCAGGTAGAAGATGGAAATTTATATGCATGGCATTGTGATATATGGAGTAAAACTATGGTACAGCATGAAGAAAAAGAAGAGCATACAAGCAAGCAATATTATTCCAAGCTTCGCCATTATCAGGATCAAGTTGAACAGCCCTAGTAAACCCATCCAAAGCCTTTTCAATATCCCGAGCCTGTATTGATCATCATAAATAAGTTCCAAGAACATGGGAAATAGTGCAAAAATGAAAACAGGGCAAATATACTTGTACAAGAATATGGTAAACAGCAAATCAACGCATTGCAGATAACATATTTTACCTTTAATGCAGCAGCCCCAAGAGCAAACCAACCATCTGGATACAACGAATTCAACGCCATAGCAGACTCCCTATGATAAAAACAAGGATAATTTGAGGCTCAGCCATATCAATTATCGAAACCACATTAGAATATTAGATATATTTCATAAAAGAAACTTGAGTGTAAAAGCGTCAAAGCAAACATACCAAAGGTTTTTAGATTTCTCATAGTCCCCTCTATTGTAAGCACTACGAGCAAGAGACCGCTGATGCAAGTGTAGATACATTAATGACAAAAGATCGCTACAAAATCATTATATAACCCGTTTAATCCAAGCAATGAACCTTACCAGAGCTCGAGCTGACTTATTGTTTGAAACTTCCAGAGCTTTTTCATAGCAGGCATCATTATTTGTAACATCACCTAATGAACACCTAGAATACGTGTGTGCAGAGTCAGCAAGCCGTGATAAAACTACAATGAGAGAAATAATTAAGAAATGGAAAGCCAACTGAAAAGGCTAAATAACATACCACAATCTTGGGTCATTGGGCCTTTCAGACAGCCGTGCCTTAATGAGTTCAACAGCTGCTGCTTTCTTTCCCAATAGGCTGTTTTGATATCATATACCAAAGAAACTCTAAATGGCAACAGTAGACAAAAAGGAAAGGCAGAAATGATAACACATAGAAGAACTTGACTGAGTTATGGCTGTCGAGGACATCATACCAGTTGCAGTATATCAGATTATCCCATAACTCTAAATCCTCAAAAATTTTAATAGCCTCTCCAATCAAACCACAGCTTACTAAAAGTTCAGCATATTCCCTAAAATTAAAGAAACATTGAAAATGAATAATTTAAAAGAAGAATAACAAAGCAATTAAAATATGCCAAAACAATGTAATACTAATATAAGATAGGTAGCTGGCATAATGAAAAGATATTAAATATCAGTGGTCATTCAGAGATAGAGAAGAAATAGTTTTACTTTCGCAGTGCAGGAGCAGTAGGAATATATGCCACATAACAAAAGGGAACTCTTTGTGCCACTCCAGGAGTAGACTTATAAACACCCTCAACCTAAAACAAAGTAAAATATATTTGTGAGACTGACAGAAAGGCAAGCACTTTAAGAATTTAATAAAGATTCTGAATAAAATGGGACCAAAAAAAAAAAAGATTGCATTTGAACTTCATCAAACATAGTGTCACCTTATGAAGCAAAAAGCCAGAGCAGCAAGTTTTGCTCAATCATTTAGAGACTAAAATCTGACAAAATAATTGCATATCTAACAATGGAAGAAAACTTTATATCAAATAGCAGCCAAACCAAGTGAAAATTTTTGGGCCCAACAACGTACTAACAGTACAAAGACTGGAATCTTTCCCATTTATTAATAAGGCTTCAGTCAATTAATTCTAGTAAAATCGAGATTCTCAGGTCCACGCAAACATAAAAACTCTCATTACCAAGCCAAGTTCTTCACCTAAAATTTCAATTTATTTGCAACATATGTTGAAAGAGATTGCTCAGTAACATCAATTGCATTAAAAAATAAAAGGCTACTCCTTTGAGGATCTTCAATTTAGCAAGACTTGCTACCATTGTATGGTCAACATAGAACACTTACACAGAGACAGAAAACCAAAAGCAGCTGAAGTCAAGCAAAATCCAGGAAATCTCATAACAGAAAATAGGGGAATGACATCTATGACCAATTCCCACAAGTCTAAAATATTTTGATGATCTCATGCATTTGTGGCGCATGGAAACATTACCTAAGAACAAAATACGAAACTCAAGCTGTACTGTTGCACAATCAAAAACATCTCAAGATTGCTCTCAACAACCAAAAATAAGTATAAAGATTAAAATCACAATAACATAATCTATAAATATACAATAAACCATAGGGTCAAAGATAACATAAATAAATAAATAAATAACTACACAAAAGCATCACAGAGCTCAAATTAGATTGGATACAAACGATGATTGTCTTACATCAAGTTTGATTTCTTTCTTGAAAAGCTGGTTATGAAAGATTTAAGCCCAAGTCAGACTGGATGCAATCGATAATCCTCTTACAAGAAGTTTGATAGCTATCTTGAGAAGCTTGTCATGAAAGATTTAAAGAAAACTTCCTTCACAAGGTATCACCCACTCATACATCAAAAAAAATAAATAAATAATCATCTTTCTTTCTAGACAGCCTATACAAAACTTTTATTACTTCTTATATAGTTTTTGTCCCCTTCTCAGGGGTGACCTGACTCTTCAGGGGATACCTGATCCACAAGTGTATTTCTCTTTTAATCTTATTAATACAATCCTTTAGTGTTTCCATAAATAAAAATGAAATTGAGCAGGAAAAGTACCAACTTTAAGCTCCACAAGCACTTGAGATGAGAAATATGATGACTCGAGATAGAACAATTCACATCAACAAACAGAAGGCAAAATCCTAACTAATTAAATTTACAAAGAACAGACTAGCAATAGATTTCTTACCAATTTATCCATCATCTCTAAAGCACGCCCCTTCGTACGACTTCGAGTTGACTCCCATCGAACTCGTAAGAGATCACAGAAACAATGTAGCTGATAGAGGGTAAAATCATGCACAACTCAAAAGTCATAGAATTACAAGACTGAAGTTAAAGACTCTTTGATATATCAAAAAAGCAAACGCATCACAAGAGATAACAAAAAAAAAGAAATTAAAATAATAGGACAGCGAGATGGTACAAATAGCAAATCTATAGCAGTGGCAGTGAAGTAATCTTTCACTGCTTGAACCCTAAAATCTCATATTATCTCATTTATAGAGTTTACATAAGTGAAACATAGCATTTATCTTTGTCACTTTATCTATACACAAAAAGTCCCATGCTTAAGGTTAAATCTACTTACAATAAAGTACGATGACTTCTGTGAACCAATTGCCTCTATGTATGGAGCCATATCCCATCCTGAAACAAAAATTAGCCGTAAGTCAGCAAAATGACCAATTGAAAATTTTATGCTTCTATCCGAAGACCATATCAGCAACAAATGGAATTCCTAGATAAATCTTCACAAAAAATTAAGCAGTCTCTTTTTCATTGTTTCCATGTAATATTTCATCCATACTAGATCTAAAAATTAGGAAGAGGAAACCTTATAAATCAAGAAGGTTTATTTTTCTTACATTAGTATAATATTTTACGAGAAAATAAGTAACCAAACATATAACAGACGACACAAGCAAAAGAATTAATGAGAGTGTCAACATATCATCTACAGCACACAAACAAGAGAATTACTGATAATGTCATTGTATCATCTACAATGCAATCTATTATCATCAATTAACAAAACAACAAGCATACTATTTGAAGTCAATTTCAATATGCATTCTCACATAGGTTGCAGCAATCAAGGTGCAAACTAAGAACAAAATATTTTTAAAATTCATAACATCAAAAATTTCGGCTTAAAAATACAACCAAGCATTCTTACTTTGCATTTCATCATGTCGAGAGCTCTTCTCTATGAGAAGGCATTGTGACAGGACCACTGCCTGTTGGATTGGCTTCAAATCAATAGTTGAAGCCCCATTGTAAACACACGGCGCTCCAGTTTTGGATTCATTACCATTCACCAATAACTTTGGGGTCATAAGAATATCAGAAGTATCAGTGACACTAGAATCGTGTGCTTGGACGCCTCGGTCTGCTGAAGGGCAGGTATAAGTATTGTTTGATGTGCTCGTATTTGCAACAAGTACCATTTGTGCCTTTGGTTCTACCTATATTCAAGAACAATCCCAAAGCTAAGAAGAAAGATCCCTACAATTTCACGAGTAATACACCTTCATCATTACCTGATGTATTGTTCGACAACCAAGAGCCCCAGTAACAGAGAGCTGAAGACCAGCTGCAACTTCAGCAGATTCAAAATGTCGCCTGATACCATAAAAGCACTTCAGGAAACAGCTATAACCTCAAAGATTGAAATTTAAACAAACCATCTAATGTCAATGGTAATAATTGATTCCAAAACACTTTACCAAAACCCACAAGTGCAGCAA